GCGGCGACTGAAGACTGAAGCGACCTTGCTTCCGTTTACGGGTTTCCTGGCTTCCAGCAGGTAAGAGTAGACCTCACGATTCTTGGGAGTCAGGCTCTCTGTTATGTACAGCGGTGACAGTCTGCGAGCGTCGCGCGCAGTCCTGTTGACCAGCTCGAATCGGCCTTCGTACACTGCGTCACGCATTCGACGTTTCACAAAGCGAACGATAACTTTGTTGTTCGCTTGGAGCCTGTGAGCCGACTGGATGTCCTTTGGCGTCATGTTGAGCCACGGGAACCTCTGGTTCAGCACCTGGGAGATCTTCTGCTCGACATCTTCGTCAGTCGTCTTGGAGATGAAGTCGTCACAGGTGAGGATCAGCGTCGAGAGTCTGCGGTTGAGGTCGATGCCCTCTGTTCTCTCCTGCTGTTCCTCCAGAGCCTTTCCTTGTCTCACCAGCTGCTCATGCAGGCTACGGATCTCCACGTCCCTGTCCATAACTTCTCCTTCCAGCACGTCGATTCTCTGCTGCATGCTGTTGAACTTTGTTTCGAACGCAGCGATGACCGTTGCGATGCTTCCATCCAGCATTTGCTTAATGCGAGACATGGCGGCGTCGCTGAGTTCCACGGTGGCTGGGGCTTCTGCGGACATCACAGCTGCGCCGGGCGATGCGGTCTCACGCGGAGACTTCGACAGTCTACTCACCGCCGGTCGCTTGGACTTCCTGCCCTCTGCGCGAGCCACCATCTCCGGCACAGAAAATTGCCGTTTTCTGCGTACGACGGTCCCTGCACCAGTCTCCGACTGTGAAGTGGCGTCGGTGAATACACTGTCCTCGGCACCACTTTCAGTGTCCGTCGCCACCATGTTCTCACTGTTTGAGCACTCAAAAATTGTTACTAATCGCTGTCGGCGTCACAAACTTCAGCGCTATGCTCAGCGCTCAGCGCACACACACGGCCGCCGCCCGGGCACCCACTGGGCCACTCTCACTCAGCCATCCCGGCACCGGCCGACCGTGACCTCGCCCGGAGCGCTGACCCGACCAGCTGGCTCGGTGACCGGAGCCCGAATGCCTCCCCACTTCACTATTTGACAGTAGTACACTCACCACTCTAGGTACTCCATAACAGTATTCAATGACTTCGCAACATAATCAAAAAGCTTTCGACAAGTTGAATAACACAATTTAGCAAACAAACTTTCGATGAATGGAGCCCCTGCATGCATTAACAACTTGAAGTGTGAAGTCAGATCGGATGGAAAGTTAATTAAACACTCACGCTGCGCTTCATCGGATAAGAGGCAGCATCCTGAAGTCAGATTCAGGGCAACCGAAATCAGCTTATGACTGAATGACATCAATGGATGTGTGTCCAATTCATTTCCATAGAAGATCACAGCTTACAGCCAAACCAACGTAATCCACTGGCTCAGTGAAGCATTGCCGCAGAATAAAGATGCTTTGCAACACCAGTCTTTAGCTCGAGACACCCTCCCCCCCTTTGTCGCTCCATTGTCGCATCAGCGCCTGGCCTCTTCGAATTCAAGCCCAGCTTCAACGAAACTCGCCGACGGCGAATCCCAGCGCCCTGCCGACTGATCCAAAGTGACAGGCGAATCCGGCGCTGCCACCTAGCCAGTGTTGGTGCCGCACTGCAGCCCGTATCGACCTGGTGTAACACTGTCCATCCTGGCTTCTGTAACACTGTCAGTGTCGTCCGAGTGTTCCATCCTGACTGCTCCGTCCATCAGGCTGGACAGTTGGATCCGACCGCTCAGACGTCGCGGTGCGTCGGCCGCATTTTGACGAGCCCGTATGAAAAGATTGTGTGTTCTATATTTGAAGATGTCCAGACATGCGAGCCTAGAAACAGCTCCGCGTTTTCCGTAGAAGGTAAGCAGCGATAGAGAACGCCACGAAATTAAAATGTTATTACATTTACATAACAAAATAACACTGACCTACGCCTGGATTTAGAAACATCTTAGATGAGTCTCATTCTCAGATCACGCCATGGATATCACAAAACGGTTATAATTTAATCGGAGGACGTCTGTCTCGCGGTCATTCGCCATGGTGCGGTACATACACATAGGTACACGACACACATTCAAACTAAATTGTCAAAGAGCATAAAAATAAAGTAAATAGAGTCAGAGCAGCACCTCCTACAAAAATACAATGGGTGCATTCACAGACTTCTCTTACTTATACAGAGAAGCCTGGAGTAATTTATCTTGAACCCCTGCCGGTGACAATCAGAGGAGCGGAGCGTAATACAGCGGAGAGGGCGGCACGGCGCTGGGAGAGCAGCAGCGCGCCCCTAACTTGCATCATAACTCGGGTGGAGAAGTTGCACCGAGTGCCGCACCGATCGGTGTGGACGGCTCGATCGGCAGGGCACGACGGGGCGGACCGATCGACCGACCGGCGCGCCCACGGACGGCCGTGTGAGGTGGAAGGAGGGAGGTGGGAGGGGGAGGTGGGAAATGGGAGGTGGGAGGTAGTGGGAGGTGGGAGTCCGACGGCAGGCCACAACAATCTATGGCAAAACTACAGTATTCATTGACGCAACCAAAGATAAATATCAGTATTTCATAAATATGCAAGATATTACAACAAAAATTACCCGACGTTTCGTTTATTATAACTTTTTCCAGGGTAATGAAAACCCTTGAAAAGTTATAATAAACGAAACGTCGGGTAATTTTTGTTGTAATATCTTGCATATTTATGAAATAATTGTCACATTACAACTCATAAATATCAGTATCATGACAGCCAAAATAATACAAAAGAGCATCGTCGACAAAGAAGCTGAAAACTAGAAGCCAAAATCGGAGATGATACATCTTTCGTTGTACTAAATATAGGACACTAAATTCGTCAGCGCTTTTATAAGTAGTTAATTTTTAAGTAAAATAATATCAGGACAAGCGAAACTTTCATAGATCGTCGATATATTTTGTAGGTACACACATAAACTGGATGGTGTTGAGTATGGGCCTCCTGCAGCGACCCGCTACCGATCGGCGGCACAGAACCAGACCAGCTCAATCACAAACGCCCTCCTACGGTGGCCCCAACGACCAATTGAGACACTCTGCTGAGTGGTCGGTCCATCTGATCGAAGATTGAATGGCCGGGAGCCGTGCCGAATGGGATCAGCGTGCTCAGTGCTCAGTGCTCAGCTTGGGTTGGTAGTGCGACTGTGACATGCCCACTGGCCGGTGAGTGGACACCTGACGTGCACAACTCGGGATGGAGTTGATTAATGGCAGCTACTGTAAACCAGCAAACTTCAGAAACATGTATGGCCAATCTAAAGCATCAAAAGAAGTGAATAAAAATGCTAGTCAAGCAAATCGTTTTTATATAACGGCTGAAAAAAATTGCGAAGGATATAGCTCCAGAAATAATATGATGCGTTACGCTAAAACAGATAAAATGGACCTACTGTGCAGTGTGCACCGTTATACGACCCGAAGCGGCCATCAAGCTGAAACGATATCGAACTAGTGGGGACGGGGGCGGGGACGGGGACGGGGGCGGGGAAGGGGGCGAGGACGCGCGGGAGGGGAATGGGGAAGGGGAGAGAACGAACGACAGGGCGTGGTCGGGCCATCGGCTCGCAGGCCTTTGTTATGACACACGATACCGTCCGCCACTGCACAGTAATGGCCCGCCAACCGTCAGCCGTTTATAGGGAAGGGACATTCAACAGATGGACCCCCGGGCGTAGAGGGGAGGGGTATCGGGGGAGGGGTGTAGGTGGGCGGGCGCCGCACGGAAAGAACGCATCAAAGGGACCGGAACTGGGACGGGTATAATAAGGAAGAAACTACACGAAACCAGCAAACACGCAGATTGGCAGCTGGTGCGAATGTGTATAAGCACGTTCGAGTAATGTTTTCTGTCTGCTCTTTTTTCAGTAGATCGAGGGCGAGACACCTAACACGCCGACCTTTCCACTGTCCTTTACCGTCCGCGACCTTTTCACTGTGGAGTGTGGAGGTACGGCCGAGGAGGTCGGTCGGGTCGCGCCGATGCCTCTCCGTTCCCCTGTGGCACCGGTGGATGCCCGCCGCGACTGCACCACATCGATCCGAGCGCGACCACCGTCCGGGTAAAATAAGACCCAGTCATGTACCGCCGGGGCCGGGGCGGCAGCCACACGGAAAATAACACAGAAAGGCCTAATGGACGCGGCCAACGACCACAGGGAATATAGCCCGCAGGTGAAAGTCATGATAATGGTGGGAACATTTAAGAGGTACGAGTGAGTCGTAAATAAGGAAACATTCGCTGACCCAATAATTGCGTCGAAACTTTTTAGCAAAGCTTAAAAGCACTCATATAAAAGATAGCCATGTCGACTTGAAGAAATCGGCGACGCGTTTTACGGTCAATTTATATTTAAGGTGTGCTGTCTTACATGTATGCATTCAGGCTAGAAATACCCACCCGCCCTGCTATAAGCCGGGCGCAGTGGCGCTGGTCGCCGCTACAAATGGCACCTCTATCTGGTGTGAGTAGGTTGTCACCGCGAGGGTCCTCCCACAGAGCCCGGGCTCGTTAATCATCTCGGGCCCGCCGCCCTCGGGACAGTGGGGGAACTGTCCCACGGAGACAACAGGCAGTCGGCAGCAGCAGCACTCTGCGATATAACCCGTCGGATGGCTAGTCGAATGGAAGGGGTGCCACAATGCCACGTATAACACAATCGGGAGTGGGGTACTTCGTGGAATGAAGCGTTCTGTGCATGGTGGACAGAAAAGCTCATAGACCATAGTGTGTGAAGAACAGTAAGTGAGAAATGTTCATCCGCAGAAAAGTATGCCGTAACGTGAGCCGTGAAAAAAAAACAGCACGTCGACTGTAAAGAACTTCAAAGATGGCGTACAGATGCATGGAAATAGTGAGGCTTAGCATCCTCATGACGATAGCAAGGCTGGCAGTCCTGCACTTTATAGTGAGAGCAGCCAGAGTTTCAACTCCGCCGACCACTCACCTGTCACGAGTTGAAGCACGGCCTCGAAGCCGGGAAACGCGTTCATGTAGTCGGTGACGAAGACCAGACTGATGTTCTCTGTGCTGCTGACATATCGCAGGAGTTTCAGGCGCGCTGACCAGTCTCCACAGACGCGCTTCACCACCTGACCCTCCTCCAGCACGGTCAGAGAGTCGTAGTCACAGCTGAAAACGGTCACACGGAAACGGTAATCAGACTCCGAACAATGCAGGTCAGTGCAGAGTCGTGATGACTGTTTTCGTTCTACCTTTTTAGACAGAAAAAGATTTCGTATGTGCTATCATTTGACGGTTACAAGGGAACTTCCAACAAAAGACCTTCTTGGCTGATTTATCGCATGCTAAGAATATGATAAGTCATTTATATAGTGTCATACCGCGTAACCGCGCGGCATCGACACATCTCCAATTATTTCCCGTTATTGTGGACCTCCTCTGCTGTGTGCCGTCACCATACCCCAGTGTCTCGGGCGGTTTCTCGGCCCCGGCACCACGGAGACACCTGCTGTACCCATCCATTGGTGCCGTGTCGCCGAAATGGCCCCATATCTCGACGCCCCGTCACCGTAAAGTTGCGGCGCATGTCGAGCGTGAAAAGGTGCTCATCAGAGGGTCGGCCAGAGGCAACATTTCTACATGCACTATGCAGGACGGAATAAGGGAGCATGCCCTCATGCATATCTATGTCATACATATCCAGCAAACGTTTCAGCCATCTTATAAGATGCTAAGACGACTGAAGTGATGAAGTCCCAGAGGTCACAGAGGTCACGAAGTGGCAGCTTACAAAAAATGTGACTGAAAACGAGCACACCATTCTAATGGTAAAAGTGCTCTGCTGGCTGGGCCATTCCTAAAGCCTTTAACACAGCCTCCAGTCGCACCATGGCATAACTCACCGTCGCGCATATTGCAGGGTTACCGCTCCCGTATTCCTCATGGGATCGCAGTGCCACACCAGACTGCCAATCACTCATGTGCCGCTCATATCCAGAATAAACCGCACTCTACAGGGTCTTTTGGCAGCGTAGTCGTCCACCAGCCAGCGCGATGGTTCCGGCATGATCCGGGATAACAATACGCACGGCACGCATTTTACAAAACCAAGCACCACACAGCCTGTCGGCCCGCACTGACCTGTCGTCCTGTTCCAGTATGAACCGTGTGAAGATGAGCTCGACCCTGGAGCCGGTCGGGCCGCTCACATTGGTGACGCAGGTCAGGTCAGGGCCGTACCGGTCCGGCCGACCGGCGCTGTTCACCGTCACTGGTCCGATCTCCGCCGAGAGGAGGATCGTTCGGTTACAGCCCGCGTCCTCAGAGGCTGGAATGGACAAACACAGACAGATTTCAGTTCAAGGGAGAATTGTTCTGTGCTGTGAACTGTACAGCTCGTCTCTATAACGCTTCTGCAAACCCGCATTGGTTTAGTGAAAATATTTATCAAAGCACGATCCAGTGTCAACTGTCAATAGATCAATTGGCGTTGTGCTGGGTGGCAATAGACCCAGATATTCGATCTTCTCAATTCTTTACTACTAGGAAACACTCAGAGTCGTTTAGCTTCGTTGATGCATATAGCGAAACTGACATTGATAATGCATTGTACCGTGTTGAACCTTCTAACTTCAATTAAATTTGCCTCTCACGCGACAGTACAAATGTGCCGGATGTAATATTGAAGTTGGCAAACGGACACGCAGCACGGAAACACGTGGTCAGTAATTTCCGTTAGCAGTTCCCCATATTTCTGTTTGCGAAGAGCAGTTAAATGAGGTTTGAAGTCTCCGTTGCGTGTTGGTCGTGCGCTCCCTTGAGATATAAAGGAGTCCGAAATCCTTTGTATGCGCTCGCCCCGTCTTCCAGCCACCCCCGACACCACACAGCAACAGCCAAGCTACTTGTAAGAGCCGAATCACACCAGTTTATCAACATTACATCAGCCCACCAATCAAAGCAAACGGTCTCATTTCGCCGCTGTCAGGAAGCGTTCGACATTTTTGGCGTCCGCTCTGCTCAGACGGCTGACAGTCGGCGCCGTCCCGGCTGACGGGAGAAGCCCTATCGGAGCAAGGTCGTCATCGGCGCCCCGCGGCGGCGGCGACGGCAACCGACACCCCTCCCTCCACCGCCAGCCTACCGGGCTGCCCAGTCACGTGCAGCGCGGCGGCTACCGGGGAGGGGAGGGGGCAATCTCACAAACTGACCACATAATGACATCATAGCGTGCTCATTGGTCGTGTAAGTAGGCTACTTTTGAGCAAGGCAGATTACAAGCCTGTGTGGTACGTAAGTAGGCACAAAGTACATTAACCTGACGTGATATATTATGATCATATGCTTTTAGTACATTGTGGATCTAGATGTGCCGAGTTTCATAAGCACAGTACTGGCATTTAGGACTAGAGAACCTTATATCAAAGTTCGTTTTACCTTTCACCCAATCCGAAATTCAGTAGGTACGTATACAAATGGCTTCTAACGTTTGAAGTTTATAAATACATCACATCAGCCACCTATATAAATAACGGGGCAAGGTTTTTAACATGACGGGCCTCAAGTTTCGTACTTAGTGGAGCACTGAAAAGTTGTAAAATGTTGAACTGTTTTACTTTCTACACCTGAAATGTGACGTACTTACTTCCAAAGCTGGCTGTCTAAAAGACATCACCCTAACATGCAAACTACAAGCTGGCATGATATTTCATTGTACGTAATCGTTCTTTTATCGTTCCTTTCCTCAACTAATGAATATCAACGCTGAGGGACAAACAGTACATTTATTCGGCGCCGAGGCAGGCGTCAAGTTCACTGTCAAACTCCTGGTGTCAGGTTAGAGTTCGTTCTGCTGCTGTCAACTGACTGTCATATTAGTCCTGTAACAGCACCTGACACTCCTACTGACCGTTGGTTACGTTTGCGACAGCTAGATTATGTCAGGCGTCAAATAAATTCTTGAAGAGGAAGTGAGTCAGTGACACTCCAAAAAGCAAACAATTGGATTAGCTTTCGACGTTGTTAACTGTCAACTGAGCTCCAGTCACATGATTTCTGAAAGAGATCATGACAGTCCAAAAAAGCTAACTGCGTCGGTCGCAGATCTCTGCTGAGAGTGTCACAAAAAACAGCAGTGATAGGCTGCCGCATGCCACCGAGCTGACTGACTGACCTGGCGCTCCGGGTCGGCGGCACACGTAGGTCAGTCTATCGGAGCACGGCCTGACCCTGCCGGCCATCTCCCCATCAGGCAGCAGCTGGAGCGCCAGGCAGCGGCCGGCGCCGGTCCTCCGTCCCTCCGACTCCACCAGCCGGCCGCCGCGGCACCACCGGGCCGAGCCTGCCGCACATGGAAAGGTCACACCGGTCAGCTGGACGCATGGTTTTTTAACTAAAGGTCAGTCGATTGGCTCAGGAAGGAACCTCCAGGGAAATGAGGGGGCATCAAATATTGGTTTAAGTCGAGCTTCCGAGTAAAGGTCAGCAGCTTTTGAGTTTAAAGTTGAATAGGGAACTATATCAAGGCGATACATAAATGTCCGAAGGATCAGGGAGTACCACCAGCATCTACATCAGTAGGTACCGTATAACAGTATCAGGAGCATAGTCATCATCATCAGCCTGTGTTGCTATGTCGCCCAAATTCAGCTTGGTCGCATTCGCTAATCAAGTAATTCAAACGACCAATCAACAGGTCACATTGTAATCGGTCTTTATACTCGTATTAGGAACCTCTGTTATGTAAGCAAAACATGAGTGTGTACATCCTACATCTTTTCATTTTGAGGAACAAAAGTATTATTCAGTAAGCGTCAGCTATATGACACCGAACGTCCAAAGAGGCAACCGTGCTTCAACAGCCTCTCAAACCTACCAACAGTGAACAGATGGCTCTGCTGCATTGCGCCTGGTGGATACTGTGCCTCAGCATACTCATTCAGCTTCAACTGGAAGTATCTACTTATGCAGTATAAGTGCTTCCTTTTCGAAACACCCACTGCTGATTTTGCACCAGCACTGAAAGTAGCGACTATAAACGGCTAATTACCGGCTTGAGTGAACGGTGGGACATTCCATGCGTTCGAAACGCTCTGGATTACAGCTCACAGCCCACCCACTCTATCTGGTTCCCATTAGCACGGCAGCGGCGCCTGGCTGCAGCGCCGGCGGTAGGCACGTTCAATGTTCTCTGGTGTAATCTGACTCGTTCATTAGTACGTGCCCTGGTCGACAAATTAAATAGGCCGGCAATAAGGTGCTCGTCTATTGTATTATCGTGTCGGTGATGCGGTCACCGGCACCGACTCTGAGAGCGCTAGAGTGAGAGAGAGTTCATATCAGAGAGAGGTCATCTGGGGAGGCTTCATTGTGTGGACGGGTTTTATTGGGTGACGGGAGGCTGGGGACCTCAAGTAGTTTAATTAGGCTTATATTTTTTTATATATAGAAAGTGGTATAATGTATTACGTCATGGATAAACGATGTATAGTTTATTACGGAATATTTAGTAGCTTCAAAGGATATTTCAAAGGACACTGAAACCTCTTTCGTTGAACATGACAAACATGTGTAGGTGAGTAAACAACCGAGAACAAAGACGAGCTCTGCATAAGGAAAAGCAGCTGTGTTACTTCGCAATTGTAATACCTTACGCAGAGTCTTCAATCAGAGAGCGAGTAGACAGACAAATGGCAGTAGAGCCACGCAGAAGGATTTCATTTGTGCTCAATCCTGCTTGTCGATACAAACAGTCACATCAAATCCTCTATCATGCCTCGAGATTTTCGTGTTCGAATCCCATCACGCCAGCGTTGGCCCGGTGGCTTATAAAGGCGAAGTTCTACGTGTCTGGCAGCATCTGAGCCGCGTTTGAGAACACGGCTTTCTGACGGGAGCCTGGGCTTAGCTTTGGATTCTAAATCATTGTAACACGATGAAAATGCCTGTCACACACGGGCTGACGCTCTTCTTTATCTTTAGTTTCATAAATTTACGCGCCGTTTGTGGCTCATTCACGTGGCCGTAAATCAAGTCAAGCAACTCACAGATGCTCCACTACACCCTAACCAGTCGCTATGTTGAAGCGGATGGTGTAAAAATTTCAAGTTTTGTTAATTGAGCGGGCAGCAGCCCTTCTGACCAGCAGTGCAAAAAAACAGTCTCACTATACAGGGTGTCCCATAAGTTCGTTCTCACCTTATATTTGCATGTAAAACAGAGTACATTGCGTTTTGATATGTTTATAACCCCTCAATGTGCTTCCCATTTCATAGGCAAACACATGAATACATGCTGCGACATGCCAACCGGCATGTTTGGCAGCATAGCAGGCTTGAAGTTAGCCCAGACTGACTTGGCATGCGCCGTGAGCTCATCAATGCTGGAACACCGCTTCGCTTTGACGAGCCTCGATTTCAATATTCCCAACACATTTTTATGAAACTTGGATTCGATGGGTTGGCTGGGATGTGATCTTGCCACACACGCCTATCACAGTCTCCTGGCACTGCTTCTAAGCTTTGCTTGACCTGTGCACTGATGCACTGTCTTGCTTGAAGATGGGTCTACGACCTCCCGGATGCCATTTTCTCCTAAAAAAATGTGGTCATACTTGCGGTTCGAGTTAAGCTAGAAAGCTGAAACTCCTACTAGATCTTCTTGGAGAAGCATTCTGCGTCCCAAGACTGTTTCTGGAGTATCAATCGCAACGTGATCAGTGTCTGGACGCATATTACCCCACATTACCGTGACCCTGGCCTTTTGCATAGGAATAAAGCGGGATGAGATAAAAGCCTTTTCCGTCGCCCATATGGGACCGTTTTGGAGTTTGGACGGGTGTTTATCTCGAGCACGGACTAGGTAGTCCAGATGACCACATTGATGTCATCGGCCCTCCAGTTTTTTTAGCCTCAGGCATAACGAAACACATGTTTGGCCATTTTAAGACGTTTTTGACTGTTTTGAGCCCTCCGGTAAGTAGAGCTTAAGTCATTAAGTCACCTTGAGTTAGGTACCCCGAAATGATACTCTTAGACTGCTGGTAATGCATCCTGAAAAGCCTGTTTACCAACTTTCTAACGCTAAGACCTTTTTGACGGCCATTTTGGTGCCACACAACTTTGGCCACATGGCTCACTCGTGAAAGCTGACAAAAAAAGAGCATAAACTTGCAGCGATTGACTCCCGACAAATCATCGGCGTCACTTGTTGACTGTGCGTCCAGTTAGCGACAAACATTGGCTACATACTGGATGGCCTCAATCACCCTCAACGGTCGTGAATGGCCCAGTGCGGACTAAATACCGAGACGTTCCCGTATCGGAGACCTCTATGTTGCGGCGTAAGCCGTCTTCACAGGAAGTGAACTCTCTGGCAAAAAATATTTTGTCTAGACGAATTAGTTACCGTGGAGCACATTCACAGTTGCCATGGCAACCCCAAAGGCTCAGTTACAAAATAAATTAAGCGTGGCTTTAAATAAGAGAGCCTCTAAAAGAAAAATTTAGGTGAGAAGGAACTTATGGGACACCCTGTACTTACTCCCACAGTCTCGCAGTTCTCAGTCATCATACAGTCCCCTATTATGCAGTCCTCTCACAGCCTTCCCAATGCTCTCACAAGTCCTCCCAAAGCACTACCAATCCTCTCACATCCCAGCCCTCTCACAGCCCCTCACAGCCCTCTCACAGTCCTCTCACAGTACTCACATTTCTCGGTGACTGGACGTCCGTCGGGCCAGCGGAGCGTGCCCTCGTGGTGCTGATTAGAACCTCCCGTCCACAGCTCGTCCTCGGCCGACCCTCCGCTGAGGACACAAGGGTCATCGGTCACCCAAATGGACCACCGGGCAGAGTATATCGCAGAAGAGACGGGCACTCATCGCTGGCCGGACCGACCATCAATCTATTACCAGTCGGTAAAGGTCAGACTATAAATTCGTTTAGTATCAAGATCAGAGGAAGCGTGCATAGGATAAGATCAAATGGCAGCGAAAACCAGGCATCTTTGTGAAATTCGAACGATCTGAAGGTTCATTTACCTCCCTCGACTGACAGGTCTATATTTCCGAATAAAATTAGGTGTTATGATTCAGTTAATTACAAAATTACATTTATGCCGCATATATTATCAAAAGTTCCTTATTTATTCCGTTTATATTAACACAGTTTCTGAGCCTTTGTAGCCTTTTCTTCACGGGTCACAGACCACTTAGCAGTTTCTAGTCCCTCAAATTGTGCAAAAATCAGCCTTTTCACTTCCTCCCTTATGAATGAATCGATCGGCCTTTTTTCAGCCTCTTTATCACGAACCAATCGACCTATCTTTACTCCCTTCGTCACGGACCAATCGACCCCTTTCAGCCCCTCCATCTCCGCCCACTCCCACACAGGCACCACACCCACACGGGCACCACATCGCGGCGCCGTATTGGTATCACATCACTTTAGCAGCGACACTCGCCACCGCCCTGCCTGAAGGCGGCCAAGATACATGGTCTGCGCCGAGGTGCAATATAGCCGGCATCGATTGGCGGCGCCTGCTCGTGCCGTGCACCTGATCTCGCCTGTCGACAGCGACGAATGGCCCGCCGAGCGACCCGAACAAGGCCGTGAAGCGCCGCCGAGCGCCGCGCCGGCTGCGACCCACAGCCGTCTCGGCGGCGAAAATAGAGGGGCCGGGGCCGGGGTAGGGGATGGGACCGGCTGATGCGGGCTCTACCAGCTGAGACGGCGCTACCGGAGCGATACAAAAGAGGCTGCTTTAGAGAGAACGGACAAATAACAGCAGGTAGAGGTGATGTTTTAGAAGATCGAGCGGCATTATTTTACTAACGAATGAGTCGCCGGAAAAATAGCTAATAAAAAGGATATTTGCCCTGTCAGGAATGCTACTTGTCATAGTTCAAAGGACAAAATGTAACAAAATGAGCAAAAATCGTGGCGTCTTGGTTTGGAATTGTGAGCCGCATCTAATTGCGACCACCGGAAAACTTCATTGCAGCTGAAGTCGAAGCGAGACAAACAGGGAAGTGATCGGATTACAAGGTGAAGTGAACAGAGAGGTGATCGTATGACGCGCTACGGTAATCGTAGCCGCCTCGATGGAGCGGTCCTCCGTCCAAACCATGGCGACCCGTCTGCTGACACGGGGATCGATGGACCACGGTGTATATGATGGGTCAGTGAGGCCGTCAGGCACTGATAAATTACACCGCACTGACGCGCCGACGCGATAAAGAGCCGTAAAACGAGCAGCGCACGCCCTCCTAACCGACCATGGCATAGACTATCGGAGCACCGCAGCTTCATTACCCCTGAACAGCATACTGCAGACAGCGCGTTATTAACACCGCCCGCAATATCTGCAGCCGCTCCCACTCCGCGTTCTTTCTCGGCCATGCTTCATCCTGTCATCCATGGTTCGCATTTACATTCATCATTAGCTGGAATTCGTTCTCCTAAATCAGGCGCACGTCATACACCAAAAGGTCAGAAAAGTCAGTCTGCATGCTGCATAGAGTTCACGGGCTTGGAAAGAGATTGTCTACCATCCGTCTGAAGCAGGCATAAGACTCGCAGTCACTTATCACTGTCTCTGTTGGAAGTCAGATATTTATATGGACTATGGAGACAATGCTTCGCCGACCTCCATACATATACATGCATTGCGTACTACTATTAGTATACCTATCAAAGAAAACACATAATCGACTGAACAGAGAGGACAGTGGTGCATTGTATGAATTCAAAAGATAGATTCTGTGAATGAAGCTAACAATCAATACATATGCTTCTTATTTGTCTGTCACCAAGCGAGTTAAATTGCATCCTAAATCTTTATTTTTTCCTCCGACTTACTGCGGGATGCTGTTGAATCATTTAACAAAAGTTGTCACTGCTTTTATACCCCGGGAAAATTGTTTTCACTCAAAAATGCTTTTGAAAGGCATTGAACCACCACAGCCCTCCAGCGTCCTATCTTACAGCACCATGTCAGCAGAGCTCTCCCTCAACCTCCGCTCCGTCCCACTGCGCCTCTGCCGTGCCGGGATCAGCGGCTCCACCCCTCAGCACGCGCTTCTCCCATCGCCGCTGTCGTTCGGCCGGCCCGGCGGGACGATGGCACATGCCAGCCGCAAATAAACGACACATGTGAGAATGAACGACCCTACCGACCGACCAACCTAATCCAGAGCCGAGACAATCTGACAGCTTAACGGGGACCGGACAGCCGCGCCGAGTGAATTGGAGCAGGATGAGCCGGACACAGACAGGACTGGGACTGGGACTGGACAGGACTGGGACAGGACAGGACTGGGACAGGACAGGACTGGGACTGGACAGGACTGGGGCAGGACAGGACTGGGACAGGACAGGACTGGGACAGGACAGGACTGGGACCGGACAGGACTGGGACTCGACATGACTGAGACTGGAAAGGACTGGGAGTGGACTGGGACAGGACAGGACGGACAGGACTGGGACTGGACTGGACTGGACATGCATAACATTATTCTCTGGACATTACAGGAGTTCAAGCTTCTCTTTAAAGTTCCACCCTGTGTCCAAAGTATCTGTGTGCGGTACACAGGCACAGGCCCTTGAACTTTTTCTTATCTGGGTCGCGTAAGACCGGTGGTAGTGAAATATATACGACAAAGCTGAATTTAGCAGTCACGGCCGCGCCGGTGGCCTAGTTCTGTAGATTGCCTGCGTTCGCCGACCATTCTGGTGCCGATTTATCCGGCCAAAGAGCTTACGAAGAGTTACAATCTCAACGACTCGAGCTGCCCCGACACGCAATCTCCTGCACAAACGGTGTCATCCAATGGTAACGACACAAGGTGGTTTTCTGCTGATAGCAGATTAAACGTTACTAAAGCTTTATAGTTTAAACGTTAATAGACCTCGTAATAGAAAATTGTAAGTTATGTTCATCTACTGGACGGTGGACCAACTGGTCAAAGCATCGACACAACATCGTTTGATCGTTAGCCTGATAGCGCGCGGGGGAGGTAGATTACGTTGTTTTCCACTCACCTGTTGGCTAGCAGGGCGGTCAGAATGGTCTCCGTGGACTCGTCGCTGACGGTTACTAGCGAGCCGTCCAGTGCGGCACAGGCAGCAGCCGCCTCCTGCCACTTGGCTGGCTCCTCAGACACCAGGTAACACCAGCCGTCGTGGGCGGCCCACGGCCAGCCGCAGGCAGCAGTGGTGTTATCTACCGGCTCGGCTGACCAGCGCAGCTCCAGCACTGGTTCCGGCTCCGGCTCCTGTACTGGCTCCGGCCGCTGCTCCGGCTCCTGTACTGGCTCCCGCGCCGCTATGCCCCGTCTACGCCCCCTCTCTGACGGTACACCCTGCGCCTCGGACCTATGCACAGCCGGCAGACTCGACACCACCCGAGGCTCTGAGGTCGTCCTCGAAGTCGATTGCGCTACCTCGGCCAGCGTGATTGCCACACTATTTGTCACTGTCACTAACGTTACGCTGCTCCGCACGGTCCGGTTGTACGCATCGTCGCCGTCCACGAATGACACCACCACTGAGCTGTTGTTTGTCGCAGTCAACCACAGCCGGGCTCGATAGCCTAACGGCAGCCGCAGCGTCAGTTGACACTGCAGACCGTTCGCGTTTACCGTCCTGCTCCCCTCAGAGCCCCGCAGCACCTCATCCTCACACGCACTCCTATCAAAAAACACCACATGGAAAAGGAAGGCGGCGTCTCCCGCGCGGTGTGTGTACAGCGATAAGGCATTCGATCGGTTGGTGACAGCGTTGACGCCGTGTCCCGGCGCCGGTTTACCGCACAGCCGGTGCAGCTGTTCGCTGGCGGCCTGGTGCAGCTGGACAGCAGCGCTCAGCCGGCCGCGCCACCGCACGTCTGTCAGCTGCAGGAAACTGCGCTGACACCGGCCCGGCACTCCGCGCACGGACAGTTTGGTGAACCGGGCACCCTGACGGAGGCCGGCGCGAGGTGGGCGTACGATATAACAATCCGGGACCCGCGGGACGTCCGCATCGCTCAGAGTGGAGACGTCCGGCCTCAGCTGCAGCTGGCACCCTGTGGAAGGGGTATGGGACGGCGTCAGATAACAGACAGAGGCACCGGGTAGCGTCAGAAGACAGCCCGGATGGCGCTGGAGGACGAACACAGCAACACAGCAGCACCAGACGGACACAGCAAGTCCGCGCGGAAATGGCACCGGACGGCGTTGCACATTCATTTTAACACGCGCAGTGGAAGGGTTGCGAGTACTACGCCCAGTGGAAGGGGGGGGGGGGGCGGATGTCGCCCCCCCCCTAAGATCTCAGCTCCCACTGGAGCTAGAAAGACGAAATTTGGAGGGTAGGTGGGGGCCACGGGGAACTCTGTTGTTTGTGAATTTCATGACCCTAGGTCAATATCTTCAAGGTCAAATGAGGTCAAATGTGGTCAGATCTGCCATATTAGCGACTTTTTTGCGTTTACATGCCGATAACTCAAAAAGTTACCGGCCGATTTTCTTTAATCTTTCACTATACGAAAGAACAAGCATTTGTCAGTGTGTATGGTGAATTTCTAGATAATCCAACAATAAATATGACAGTTAGAAGCCTGCTAAGGGTAAGATGTCGCCGGCTGAAGCGGGATCGGCCGACGCGGGAAACGCGACAATCACAATTTTGTGTTTACACACTCATAACTCAAGTTGTTACTGGCCGATTTCCAAAATTCTTTGACCATATGATTGCCTGTACATTTCTCAGTCTTCTCACCGAATTTGACGCGAATCTAATGTAATCAGCGGTAAGGAGCGCGATGTAAAGACGGAACCGTCCCGCCCCGGCACAGTCTACAATTCAGGCGGCGCGTAACGGCTAGCGCCGGCCGCCGCGCCGCCGCGCCGCCGCGGCGGCAGGATGTTTGACTTTACACCGCTATTGCTAGAAAAGTTGTGAACCGATTTTCTTACGTCTTGCATGAGAACATCCGCAATTCAATTCTGGACAGGTAGCCGAAATTTCACATTGATATTATGCTTGTGGCGCGAGTTATTGGCGAAAAACAGGAGGGGTGGGCGAAATCCGCCCCCCCCCCCCCTTCCACTGCGCGTGTTAAAGCTACTTATTCGGAAAACAAAAATCCCAGAAACAAAGATTAAGGTGGACACATAAGTAGGTGAAATTTATAGCGGATTCTTTTTTCCGTTCCGTATCATATCTGTCTGTCATTCATCCCTGGTCACGTTGACGTGCGTGCGATAGGGTCAGCGCCTGTTGACAGACCTGGCCCCGGTGTTTGTTGACGAGGTCGACCCCAATGCGTCACGGGACGCACGGTGACCCCTGTTGACATCTGGCCTGGGACCGGTGCGTGTCACAGGTCGCCAATTTCCCGCGGTCATCGCACATGCAGCAGACCGCCCCCTCGTGGAGCATTCATCATGAATACGAATCGATGACCACTACGCGGCAAGGATTGGTCTTCCATACAAAGACCCTTATCACAAATTGATGTTATTGATCGAAGTGTGGGCGGCCGCGCACAAAGTGAGTCTATTGCATGAGAAATGCAAAATGGCGTACTATGGAAGCCAACAACAGTTCGCACGAGGTCAAACAAAAGAGTCTTTTTACTAACAAGGAACGTGTCACGAGAAATGGGAACGTGTGCTAACTAGGACAGGGCAGTGTATTTAAATGACAGAGTATAATCGATTCCTAGCAACCAAACAGAAATTTGGTTGAGATAGCAATGCACACTGCACAATGCACATCCTAAGTCTCAAGTCAAAACTATCAATGTCCTTGCCTATGTTAGCGTTGTCAGGCTTCACATGATATTAGGTACTGGCAAGCTGTCACGACTCACGAGAAAGCCGAGTATAAGTCAATGGCCGAGTACAAGTACACCGATCATCAGGCGCTGCCTGTGATTATCATGGTTCGATAGCGTCACACAGTTTCCCACGCCTGATACCCTAGAAAAAACTCACGAGCAGCATTTATGCATGGGAAACGTCAACAGGCGTCCGTCCACCCACGACGTACTACGCGAGCACGCAAAGGACGTCTGACGAGGAGCAGTGGAGGAAAAACTAATTATTTATCAGCTATACCCACCGTCCATCTGGAAGGCAACATGATGCGCGGGATGGTGCACAAGATGGAACAGGCTATACTCTACGAAACATCCTACTAATCATACTATGAAAGGCACCAGCACATAATGAACCTGGTGTAGATAACCAGCAAATCGGTCAAGGAGACGATATCCAAGCTGAACCGAACTGGGGCGTGGCGGAGTTCTATAGCCTTGGGCGTGGCAAAAGGGTCGCAGAGTGGAAAGTTAAATGGAACGTTTTCAGTGCCATATGTTATAAAAACTCCACTGGTCATTTTCCTTAATCTTGCTTGTTTTTCTATTTTAAACATTTATTTGCAAAGACTGCTGCCGCCGCTTTCCAGCCGTCTGTCCCGATACAGCATCGATATATCGGCGAACCCGTCGGTCGGTCGGGCTGCTCAGACTTTCGTTATCATGAGACGGGATAAGCGCTTTTGAAACTTTCCTTAACTTCTAAAGCGGACTTAGCTACTCAATGTCTCTGAGGATACCGCACAAAGTTCCGACCTCCTGCCTCGCTGAGCTCTGAATGTCAGTAACGGCTGATTGCCTGGAACAGGACGGCGGTCTGCGAACGATTTATCCAGTATCCAATCCATCCATTTTGACTGCGTGGGCGGTCCCGAGCTGTTCCCGACGTAATTTCGAGCCGCGAGTTCCGCGACGAATCTCGCGCCGCGATTCAATATATGAATCAACCTTATGTCGAACCGCCAAAATCGCGTGCACTATACTGTTATATTTCGGTTAGCTTAACGAACGGCTGATTGTTCAAGAAGGTTATCCAAACGATTGCAAATCAAACGTTGGAGTAACATAAAACCTGTCACAAAGACGATCGACAAAGTCTCACCGGCGTCCACTTCGGCACCAGAATCGTGGTGTATTAATAATACCTTCGGTCTGATTCGGCACGCGTTCCCAGAATTTCAATTTCCTGCGGATATCAAACTTTCAGCTGGTTTTCGACTGAGCGCGCGTGCTGTAAGCTGGCTGAGAAGTACCCCAAACGAGGCGCAGAGTGCGCCTACCGGTCGTACACTCACCCTCGGTCAGCTGATGAGCTATTGATGAGTTCGATTTCCAGGCGGTCGAACCGGAGACATTAGGTGCAGCGCAAGTTGCGAAAGATTGAGCAGCAGCGATGCAGCCAGCAATCGTTAGAATCAGCGGCTATATATGGCCGCCATGACTGACCTTTAGCGACCTACCACGCCGTGAACAACGTTACGACCCTTCCGTGACTCCGAGTCTAAAAGGCAATAGTGTTGTGCTGGGCAGCAAAAAAGGGTCTCTAAGGCGCAGGGCGATGAATTCGGAAATGTTAATTTAGCGGAAATACAACATAATAAATTAATTCTAAAGTGACGGTAGCGAAGCATAATTATTTGCTACCATTTATCAAAAACTCTATCAAACTGTCGTCTCCTCTCTCGTGTCTGCCTTTCCCTGTTCTCTTCTTATCCCTCTCCGCCCCCTTTTCTCCCCACTCTCTCTCTCTCTCTCTCTCTCTCTCTCTCTCTCTCTCTCTCTCTCTCTCTCTCTCTCTCTCTCTCTCTCTCTCTCTCTCTCTCTCTCTCTCTCTCTCTCTCTCTCTTTATTTCACTTATTTTATTTAGGTAATATATAATTATTAACTATCGCGTATCTGCCTTCAGTTCAGTCGCATTTAAACAACACATGAACAAAAGTTCTAAATGCATATGCAGCAACAGGGGAAGGAAGCAATAACTTACCTGAAGCAATAGATTCATTGTGGGTCACCTTTTGCGCCGACCCGTCACCCCACAATATTGATGCACTGCAAACGGAAGATTATTTGGTATTAGAGAAATAAAACATAACATGGACAACAGGCAAATGTGGGTGGAATAAGACATCATAAAACGACATTTTTTAGTATTTTGAAAACATATTATGTGAGCTTCAGGCACATGTTAACATAAATTCAGCACATTGGCAACACAGGCGGTCCTTTTTGTGATGCCTCGACCTCGTCCAGGAAATGATGTGACCCCACCTCACCTGAGCCGGAGGACAGCCGGCGGGTCGCCGGTGTGTGGCAGCAGCCAGCTGGCGGAGGCCACTCCGGCAGCTGGCAGCAGCAGCAGCTGCCCAGCTGAGCAGCGGCGCAGCTGGTGAGGGGAGTCCAGCAGGAGGCCCGCGGAAGCCGCCAGCAGGACCGAGACGGCGGGCTGGCCGTCCGGGCGGGCAGCCAGCACCGACACTGCCGCAGATCACGGAACGGCAGGTCACGGTATTGTCACGGAAAGGTCACGTGACTCCACGTGAGTCATATGACATTCATGGTGCGGTCAGTCACGGTCACAAGAACTCAGTCTCGTGACAGACCTGATGCAGTCACGGTACGGTCACGGTCACGGGTCAGTTTCCTAAAAATCGTAGTTGAAAATATTACCGCAATAAATGTTACCAAACTTGCCACATATGGCGAAGTCAGGCTCGACAAATACACCAGCAAAGCACAACGGCCACGAACTTAGGAAAGAGAAGTATCAGAACATTACAAGCTTTTTTACTGTCCTTTTATTTGATCTTATTATGAGAAAGGTAGGTTATTTTATTAACCACCGATTGAAATATAATGCTAGAGCTCTATACCCTATACATTTAGCATAATTAATCACACGTCATCATTTTACGCAAAGTACTTCTTCTAATGCAATTCATGAAACCAACAGTATCAAAACGTATAAAAACTCATTGACATTGCATTCGTTGATGGCGGTACATTTAAACGCGGAACTGTTTTGGTCGTTTTGGTTGGAAAATGGCGTGAATTTAATATGAATCAAACACTCATTGTTTTAATAACCAATGCATTACGAAGTTCAGCACTAGTGATGTCAATTACGGAAAATCTGAATACCGATACCAAACCAAATACCAACCAAAACCATGGGGAAATACCGAAACCAAACCAACTTGGAAAAATGAAGGAAATACCAACTTTTTACCGATTTCTTAGCCTTTTATACATTATTGAGGGTTCATGATACCAATAAAATACCAAACACATTACGATTGAAATACCAAATACCAAGTTGGTATCGGTTTGGTATCGGTATACCAAAATGTTGGTATCCGATTGACATCTCTATTCAGCACGCAGCTTGCTACCGGATATGTTCGAGCCTCATCTGTACCCCGCCACTCGGCCAACTATCGGCTCTTTGACCCATCTCTCGTCCGCGGTGGGCCCGTGTTAGCCACACCCGATCAATACTCAGTGCGGCCGAGCCCGTCCAGTTGGGAGCCAGAGCCATAATGAGCGATAGTTCTATCGCGCCGCGTGAGAACTTGGCGCGACGGGAATGGTGGGGCGGCTCACACCATGATGGAACCTGGGGCGACGAGAATGGTGGGGAGGCTCACACCAATGGAAGCTGGGGCGTCGGCAGAGCCGTGTCGGCTCACACGGCACACGTCCGAATTTTGTCGTATGCCGCGGCAGTGCTGGACCAACGAACATTACCACTCACACCTCACCTTCTCACACCTCTCACACGTACAGCTCGCATTCATGAAGTCTGGCAACCGTTAGAGCTTAGCTGGGCTCAGCCCCACAGTCGGATCACACCTAAAGTGTGGCGACCGGCAGGGCTGAAGTGCCCGTGGACCCTGCAGACCTGTATCAGCTCAGCACCTACCAAACTGGCCTTTATCGGCAGTGCTATGCCAGCTCGCAGATCTTGAGCTGGAGTCGGGCGTTTTAGAACCAGACGATGCCCAAATGAAAACCAGATACGATTCTTCGTTGATTTGATCTGCACCTACATGTACCTAACTAGATAGATGAACGTGTAATTGTGTGATAAAAAAGTGTTCAGTAGAGTTAACGCTATGCATAGCTATGTGAATGCATATAGCGAGCATGGCATCAGATCGCTAGTCAATATCACAACAATAGTCTTTCAAGGCTCGGTACCCTATTCCCGTAGTGCAATGTCCCGTCAATGCACAGCCAGTTGCGATTCCAGCGAATTGGATGTCGGACGCAGCGTAAATCCAATCCCGTAGATTTCATCGTGGGTCAATGTCTGCTCAGCGCCGGACCCGTGGGCGTTTGATTTACGTCACTATCGTATGGCAATACTCGTACTTATTGGTAGGCATCGGACAACATAGGTGTAGCCGACTATGTACTGGCTGCTGATGCAGCGGCGGTCTGATGAAAATGTTTCACTAGGATAGTCTCGGGTAGAGTAGCAGACGGTGCCATCACCTGACCACATCATTGCCACTCTGACGTCCTTTCATAGGGGTTTAAAGTGATGAAGGCATCAATCATGGCCTCGAGAGGCTTCAGTGGGACGGGACTCCATCCCACGTCCCCGTCGCAGCCTTATAGTGGTTTCAGACGCCCTTCGAGGCCCAGCCCATCATTTCAAAGTGCCGTGGTTTATTAAACCAGATCCCACCGATGTTGAGTGCAGTTAACGGATCAGATAGCGCTGCGGATATATCGGATACTTAATTAGGTTCTCTGCGTTAAGAGAGCAAGATTGCCAGACTTTTTAAGCCACGCCCAATTAAGGGTAATTATTGCCTGCACTTGTAACTATCGCTACGACTTAATTATTGCATTCATTCGCAGAAAATCCATTGGTAATTGGTACAAATCAAACGATACCACAGAAAAGCTAAATAAGCCTGCGAGCTCCGTTCACATTTGGAACATTTCATTCTTTTCTCAGGCTCGCTATTTTTGCTTCCTCTACACAGCACAGTCTCATTAGAAGTGAGTTCTCGATGACATGTCCGAGCAATGCGTCGCTTACGGAGCCTCCAATACATCACTCGTTTAAGTTTTAGGTTTTAGATACGTTCAAATCCCTTATACGTTTGCTGCTTTGTGTCCCATTAAAGTGAGCGGGCAACGAAACGGCTCATTCACCATAAATTGTTTTAGACCACATCTATATCTCATGCTGTTTCTATCGAAACATTTGAAAGCACCTCCGAATTCGTGCCATTCGTGTTTTATAAGGGCGTTCACAGGTATTAACAACTTTTTACCAATTTTTGCTTTTCTCGCGCCCTCTCTCCCATGGCTCACTGCTCATCAGGGGCCCGGGAACGATTTTCAAGTGGGGGGGGGGGGGGCGAGCCTAAAATGCCTTATGTGATGCATATGAATCAGTGGCGTAGCTAGGGGTCTAAGGAGACACGTATACCCCCCCCCCCCCCACATCGGGATAAAAGGGACCCTCGAGTCCGAGGGGCCCTGCGGCGCCATTTGACCGCTGAGGGTTAACGATGGCCATATTTCTACTCAGAAGGGCCCCATGGGGCTCGTTAGAGCACCTCATGGGCCCTAAATAGCTACACTAAGATCTCCATAAGGGCCCCACGCCCTCTTCTGAGGGCCTCTTGTGGCTTTTAAGGGCACCTCGGTTGTCTCCAAAGGCCCGTTACTGGCCTCTGAGAGGCCTCACCGGCCTATGAGGGGCCAGTTCTAGGAGCATTTCCCGCCTGTGATGGTCCCACACTTATTTTTCTGAGCGCCCCATAACGGCAACTGTGGGGCCCTCGTCGGCGCCTATGAGGGCCCACACCGGTGTCTCTGAGGGTTTCACACCCCCAACTCTGAGTGCCTACACCAGTGCCTATTAAAGCCCTATATTGGCGGCTTTGAGGACCCAACCAACACCTGCGCATCTAAAGGCCACCCACTGGTGACTTTTGAGGGCCCCCACACTGCTGACTCTGAGGGCCCCACCGGCGTCTGACAGTACCATACCGGTCTCTAAGGACCCCATGCCGGCCTACATAAGGACCCCTTGCCGGTCACTGAGACTAGAAATGTCAATCGGATACCAACTTTTTGGTATACCGATACCAAACCGATACTGATACCAACTCGGTGTTTGGTATTTCAATCCTTATGTGTTTGGTATTTGGTTGGTATCATGAACCCTTGCTAATGTTTGAGAGGCTAGGAAATCGGTAATATATAATACTGAACGAGGCCGGTGTAAATAAATTTTCAAGACCGAGGTCCTTACTGGATTTTTGAACGAGGCCGAAGGCCGAGTTCAAAAATCAGTAAGGACTGAGGTCTTGAAAATTTATCACCGGCCGAGTTTGGTATGTATTTTACTGTATGCCAACGATGCCAACGATAAATTTATTTTCTGGACCGAAGCTCTTAGCCGACTTAGGAACGAGAACATCCCAAAATGTTGGCTTAAGTGCATTCTGGTAATGCATTTTTGACCGTGGTCAATTTGCTTACACCAGTTATTACCACACCCCTCTGGCTAATGTATTTGAATAGACCAGGCATACAGTAAAGTTGGTATTTTCCTCATGTTCCCAAGTTGGTTTGGTTTCGGTATTTCTCCACGGTTTTGGTTGGTATTTGGTTTGGTATCGGTATTCCGATTTTCCGTAATTGACATCACTAACTGAGACCCCCTGCCGGCTTGTAGAGAGTTCGCGTCAGCAGCTCTAAAGGCCCCACACCCGTCTGTAACGGCTCCACACCAGCGTCTATGAGGGCCCACAGCAACGCCTATAAGGACCCTCATCGGCGCCTCTGAGAGAATCACACTAGCACCTCTGAGCGCCCACACCGGCACCTGCATGGCGGTCCCACACCGGTGCCTCTAAAGGCCCCTTACCGGCGTCTCTGAGGGCCCTACGCCGGTGATTCTGAGGGTGCTACCGATAACCGAAGGCACCACACAAGCCCTAAGTGTTGCTGAGCTTTAATCCCATACCGGCCCTCCGAAGGCGCCACGTCAGTGCACTCATTGCCCTACACCCCTCCATCACATCGCAGCGGGTAAACTGTGTTATACCTATAGCAACGATTTTACCACCGTTGTACGTTATGTATTTCTCAAAGTTGACCAAGCTGGTGCAGTATAAAATCTAGCCTGCCAAACTTATGGCCAAGGTCAGGCCCAAATCAAAGCGGGATAACAATAGCAGATGTTGTCAAATCGATACTGTATCAGCAGAAACCATTCAGATGGCAAGGAAAATGCCGTGTGTTGATGTGTAGATGTATAAAAGATAAAAGAAGGAAAGAGGTCCGGAAAAGGGAGGAAAGATCTTTTCTCGCTGCCTCAATGTTGAGGGGGCGCCGCCCCCTCGGCTCTCAAGTTGGGGGGGGGGGGGGCGAGCGCCCACGCTGCCCCCCCTGTTCCCGGGTCTATGCTGCTCATTCGAAATAGTCCCGGTCCAACATTTTCGACGACGACATTAGGCCATTCAAAATCCATCAATCTCCGACCCTTACCATTATAGCTGATGCCGGCGACCAAACCCGGCGCTGTCTCAAATTTCTCACTCCGCACCACAATAGCCACATTCTCCCGCGCCACCCACGTCACATTAGGGCCCGGGTCACACCCGACACTCTCGGCGGACACTCTGGTTGCACCCAGCACTAACACCAGCAGGGTGGCCGCCGCCACTGTCACTGCACCGCCCATACCCCGTGTCACATGGCCGGCGACCGCCCGCAACCGACCGCCCCCGGCCGCCGTCCTGCACTGCCCCGGGCGCCGCCACTGTCCGCTGTCCCCCCCCCCCCCCCCGAGACCCGGCGGCGGGGGGGGGGGGGTGCGACGGGGAGGGGCCGTCTGCGCACAGGTGGGCACTGAATCAATGCCCGCACACGATTCGACAACAGGCGACCTCTGCGACCGGGTCGGCGGTCGCGGCGGCCGGCTCCCCGCCCGGGTATAGCAGGAAGTAGTAAAGGAATCTTGGCAGGGACAGCACAGCACAGGGTAGGTATAACGAGCGACGAACATAGGCGTTAGCCAGCATCTGTCTCGGGCTGATAGCGCATGCAGCTGAGTCGTCGGCTGTTCAGGTGAAATGAAAAAGAAGGCGTTGCCGGTTTTATACGACGTCTAGTTTGGACACCTACGTTAAAAATGGGCGTGTACGGCCGGCAACACTGAAGTACCGGGCTTGAAGAAGTTGACGGATTTATTGTTTATTGTCACAGTAGCAAACCAGATCCGCATAAAATGGGCTATTCCCTGGTCGTTGTCAGTAAACACTTCATAACGAACAACACACAACACTGTTAAAATCAAATACTGCGACACCTGATAAAACAGCTAAAAATCACCTTCTCCGAGCTATGATCATTGTAATCTAGAAAGCTTTAGGTGCTTTTTGAATTGGCTCAGCGTAAGTCTGTCTGCACCCTCGGCTATAACAAGCTTATTGTACAGTGTAACAGATCGGTAAATAAAAGTACGCTTTCCATGATTCGTTTTTACACGTGGCAAGCTAAGATAGTTCGATGTGCGCGTGTCACGTAACGTTCTGTCGCGATTAGTGTGAAGGTACTGAGCTATTGAATCCGGCTGTCCTGTTCCCCAGATCTTGTGCAGAAGGCACAGGTCCGAGTAATTGACGAGCTTTTGGGCCGGTAGCCAGCCCAATGAATCGATACAATCAGAAATGTGGTCATATTTTCGTCTTCCTGATACTACTCTTGCTGCGAAATTTATAACTTTTTGCAACTTGGCAATTCGCCCAGCGTTGGCACTTCCATAAACCTGAATGCAATAGCGCACGTGTGACAGAACTATTGCATCAACAATTCGAGGCAAGAGATGATGCGGAAGAAGGTGGCGGGCGCTGGCTAGACCTATTAAAATACCGGTACATTTGCTGACAACTTGCTCGACATGCGGTTCCCACGACAAGTTACAGTCCATTTTAACACCGAGGTTTCGAACACACTTGGCCGGCTGTAAAGCTTCGCCTAAAAACTGCACATTAACTTGCCCTTCCCCTACGTACTGCAGCTGACGCCTATCACCTATCAGTATCATCTCAGTTTTCGCTGCGTTTACTTTCATTCCATTCTGAGCGAACCAGGTGCCCATAATTTCGAGCAGCTGACTAAGGGCAGTTTGTAGCTCTCCGAGACGGGTGCGGGGCCCCGTGACACCGATTTGTGTATCGTCAGCGAATCTGGTCATTATAACCTTAAACCCATTGACCGAATTTGGCAGATGCAATGCTAAATCATGAGTGGCAATATTAAACAACAACGGGCCGAGACAAGATCCCTGGAATGTGCCAATATTTATGTCTTTAGATGACGACAACACATTTCCCAAGCGTACCTGTTGCTTATGACCTTCCAGGTAGCTTCTAAACCATCCCGAACTGATCTGGAGCTGCTCTATTTTTGTAAGCAATGTACAATGGTCAATCACGTCGAATCCCTTAGATAAATCAATCAAAGCCAAAAGTGTGATTTCCGAGTTGTCCATCCCGCGCAAAATGTGCTCTGTCACAGTTAAAAGTGCGGTACTAGTGGACCGATTCTCAGTAAATCCATGCTGATCTGCGCTACATAAACCGTTTCTGCTAAGGTATGAGGTTACTTGCCGATGTACAATTTTTTCAACGATTTTACATATCACTGGTATGTTTGTAACCGGTCGAAAATTTGATGCTCCGCTGGGTCCCCCTTTTTGTACAATGGTATGACCAACGCTCGTTCCATGACTCGGGCACTATCTCTGACACCAGGCTGCAGTTAACAATCTGGAGCAGGACTCGTCCAATAACGCCAAAACTCTGCTTCAGAACGGATACCGGTATGTCACCTTCGATACATGTTGCACGATTCGGCATCGAGTAAATAACCGCTCGCAGCTCGTCTCTAGTAATCGGCATAAGATTCAACACATCAGTGTGGACGCGATTCAGACGGGTGTGGAGCGGCGCCCGACCGGACTGTACAAACTTCTTCACCACAGATTCTCTAGTACAGGAACCCACACTAGTAAAGAACGCATTTAGTTCTTCAGCAGAGAGGTTCTCTGGTTCCGTCGGTGCCGTCTTTCTGGAAGCGATAACTGGCCGAATTTGTTGCCACATCCTATTTGGCACATCCTCCAGTTAAAAAGGATAGTAATACGTTTAGACGAAACGATATTTTGCAACAATTTCGCTTTGGAGTAAATGGGGAGTCGTATAGCTTGGGAAGAATAGATCGCTGGCCAAAAGAAAATCTCGCTGTGCCTGAACAGTTGTGATAGGATTCTGTTTATCAAAAAACGTAATTTAAGGTCAGATTATTAATTCGAACGAAAGGCAAGCTTTAATCACGGTAAACGAGTAGTTACTAACAGGTCAGCAGCCAGCCAGGTGCGCATCCCGAAAAAACGAGGCTATAGATAGTTTAAATATGATGACCGTCACAGACAAGACAATCCATAAAACCGCAGTTTATTCACGTTTGTCAAATACGACATGGTACACAGCTCATACGAACACCGCGTATGAACGTGAATTATCGTGCATGCTTAAATACATATCTAAAAAACCTAAAATATTAAAATAGAAATAACGGCCGATATCTAAGGCCATGGCAATACCACAGCCAAGCTGCTCCAGTTAAAAAGCGTCGACTATTCCAGCTGTTCGAATATATGTGCACATTACACAGTGACTGTCTACCGATATTCTGCGAAACAAGTAATAGCTTTATTATAGTGACGACGAAATGCAAAGACAGCGTCTACAAACGGATTATAAGTTTACAATATCTTTAAAAGCAAAGCCGCATTTCATCCCTTTGGTCGGTCTTAGATACTATCAAGAGGCACTGGAACATTCAGACTACATGGATACTGCCCACACGGTATTTCCGTGAGATCCTTGCAGACTGCGACTCCTGAACATGTCTCCGCTCCCCTCCTCAGCGGGTGCTGGGGGAGCGGCGCGGCGCGGCGGCGCTGGCGGCCGGCCGGCCCGCCGCCGCTCTCAGCTGCACAGCCTGCACCAGCAGCGGCAGAAGGTACAGCTGCTCCTTCCCCAGCGCGGCCAGTAGCGGGCCCGGCTCTGCGCCGCCCTCCCAGCTGGCCAGCAGGCGACCCAGCACAGCGTTCAGCCGCTCACCGCCCAGCGTCTGCCGGCCAGAGAGGAACAGATCCCTAATTGGACGGCACGAGAATCGCGGCTGGTCGGCCGGCCGAACACGGCCGACATTCTGCCGCGCTATTCCGGGCCGGGAGTGCACTATTCATTAGGTGGAGCACGTGACTACCAATTAATGGCTATACGCATCGGGCCAGATACAATTTCTTTGTTTCCGAATCAACTATTCATGGACAATAATGCATGCAATCGGTTGCAGTAGTGTATTTAATTTGGTAAATGTAATCTAGACGAATGTGCAGCGGACTGAATAAGCTCGAGGGCTCCTGTGAGTCTCACCTTAGCCAGGTGCTGCAGAAGCGCGGTGTCGTCTGGCTGAGTGCCGGGCCGGAGACGGGCCGACCACATCAGTCGTGCCAGCTCCTCATCCTTGGCGTAACGACACTGAGCGCAGATCAGCGAACAGCATGTGCCACCAGCGCACTCGGTGGAGCGCGCGTGCAGCTGACCGCCTGGCGAGCGAATACCACATACACGGTCACTCGGGAGGCTAGTTGATAGAACTCCGGCTGACACCAGTACTTATGGAAATTTGGCAAGGGATTACTTCGGTCTTACATCAACATTCCTATGCTTAACCTCTAAACAAATACGCGGATCTTAGAGCCAACCGGGCCTAGCATAAGTAGTTTCATATTTATATGGCTGACTGGAAGAGATAGCACAAACACTGACCTGCCAGCTGGATGCTGTTGTGGTTGACATCCGGCAGGCGGCTGACGAGCGTCGACTCCTGACTGTCGCTGTCAGTCTCCTCCATATCAGCACTCTCCTGACGGGCGGTCTTTCCTGCCAGAGAGGTGGGGCTGTCGTCCCGCCTCGAGGACAGGCTGCCCTGGTGCTGCCGGACCTCCAGCGACAGCCGGCGCCGGTTGGCCGGCCGCTCCTGAGCGCTGCCGGTGCTGGAGCTGGACACTGAGCTGTCACTGCGCTGCGCCGGCCGCGGCGGCCGCTGCTGCTGCTGCTGCTGCTGCTGCTGCTGTTGTTTCTTGGCAGCCTCACCACCAGGCTCGCTGGTCGCCGGTGTCTGTCCCTCCGCCCGGCCGCGGGAGGCGCCTTCTCCGTGGCCGCTGGACCGTTCCCCGTTAGCTGTCGGCTGCTCCCTGGCAGGGCCGTTGTTTCCAACCGTACTTCCCGTGCTCATGTTGCTGGTGGCACTGATGGTGCTGCTACTGCGGGAGACGGGACGTCGCTCCACCGGCCGAGCTATTGTCGGTCCGGACGGTCTGCCGCACAGCCAGAACGGTACTCATTACTCAGTTACAGGGTGGGCCAAAAAAGTGTGTCACTTTTCAGCAGTAATTTCTCGAAAGTGGTAAGAGATACGAAAAAGAAACTTTCACAACTTAAAGAAAATCGTTTGACAAATTATATGATCCCAATTTTATGGAAAAGTTTCAATCGAACTGACGTTGCCATCATCGATGTAAAAAACGGGATATGTGCGTCTTTTATGTTTGCGCATGTGCTCGAAGTGGGCAACACCAAGCTGAAGGCCATCTGAACGCGCTCCGGTAGCTGACGCCCACCTCTCCGCGGTGTCTGCTGTCACTTCACGCACGTACTGCTCGACGCTGAGACGCAGCTCCTCCAGGCTACCGGGTTTGTTGTGGTAGACACTGTCCTTGCAGGCTTCCCAAAACCAGTAGTCCAGCGGGTTGAGGCCAGGGCTGTGAGGAGCCCACTGCTTTTCGCTTTCCTTGGAGATCACGCGGCAACCGCAGAGCTCTTGGAGCAGCTGCAGTGTCTTTCGGGCCGTGTGCGGTGGCGCTACATCTTGCATGAACAAAGCTTGTAGCGTGATCACCAAGGGAAGCGAAAAGCAGTGGGTTCCTCACAGTCCTGACCTCAACCCGCTGGACTTCTGGTTTTGGGGAGCCTGCAAGGACAGCGACAGCGTGGGTCTACCACAACAAACCCGGTAGCCTGGAGGAGCTGCGTCTCAGCGTCGAGCATGGTGCATGAAGTGACAGCAGACACCGCGGAGAGGTGGGCGTCAGCTACCGGAGCGCGTTCAGATGGCCTTCAGCTTGGTGGTGCCCACTTCGAGCACATGCGCAAACATAAAAGACGCACATATCCCATTTTTGAAATGGTGATGGCAACATCAGTTCGACCGAAACGTTTTCATAAAATGGGTATCATATAATTTGTCAAACGATTTTCATTAAGTTGTGAAAGTTTCGTTTTGGTATCTCTTACCACTTTCGAGAAATAGCCGCTGAAAAGTGACACACTTTTTTTGGCCCACCCTGTAAGTCCGGCGTCAAATAATCCAATGTTAAATGATACTCGGCACATCAGCCAAACATAGTCGGCCTCCATATTTGGAATATAATAAAAAGAAAGCACACATAATTAAACACGTAACAAGTGATATATAAGTGACGGCGACAAACAAATTCATTTTACCTTGCCCCGTGGTGGCTGTTGGTATCAATTTCTTAAATAAAATAATGAAATGTAACAAACAGACGTCATCGTTTAAAATGATACTCGGGCACGACAGCAGCGATGTTTCCAAAGTCATCCACCAGTCAGACCGACCTACCTTGGTGCCGGGGCGTCCAGGAAGCAGGCGTTTCTCGTGTTCAGTGGCGGCGATGACCTGCCGGAGCCACCGGCCACCGGTGATCGGCTCTGCCGTACCGGGGAGCGCGACCCGCCGTTAGGACGCGATGAGCGCGGAGAGTGCGGGGAGCGAGGAGCAGCGCGAGCCACGCTCAGACTGGGCCGACGGAACACGCGTGTTGGAGAGCGGTCACGGCGCGGGCACGACCGAGGCTCGGAGGGTTCGGCGGGGTCGGATGGCTCGGCAGGGTCACTGGCGCTGCGGGGGCGCACAGCCTCCTGGCGAGAGAACTTGTTCTTGAGCACCTGGCGAATGAGAGCGCTGGGCCCGCGACTCGACTGGCCGCGACCCTGTGAATGAAACATAAACAGTTGTTGGCGTCCGAGATGAAGAGTTGTGATAACTTTTGCTAACTTAGCGATGCACTGCTACGGCACACATTTTCAACATAACTATATAGGTAAACAATAGAGAGATACCCAAGCTTAGGTTGGTTGCAACTGTTTCGATGGTCTTCTTTTTTCTTTCAACACAGACAGTGCACATCTCAGATGGCTGAGATAAGCCAGGCAGTCACAGATGGTTTGATTTGCGCCTTGATGTGAACATTATGCCTACGAAGCCCGGATATAAGAGCGAAAATTTATCGCAGATGACGCCATTTGTTCCTTCCGAGAGGGAACTATTACGATATCACTTTGAGTTGGAAATATGAATCCCTGAACGAAGAGATTCGTCCTTTGGTTTGTAGAAACTTACCAGACGTTTGGCGGCAATGTCACATGACAACAGGTAAACGAAAAAAAATGGTTTAAGGGCCATTACCCCGTCTGCCCCTTTAGTAGGCATTATTACTGAAAGTTTACAGTTTTAATTGACAGTCATATTCGTAGCAGTTATAATAACAATTATAACAGTAAATTCTGATGAAATTTTGACGTATGATCAGAATATTCACAGCCTCTCGGTAATTCCGGATTCTGAAACGGGACATTACATTGAAGTCTGGACATTACATTGCCGACTCTGTCGGCAGCGCTGCCGAACCCCATCGGCACCTATCAGGGGACATCGCTCGGACCGCTCTTGTACAGCATCTATGCTAATGATATGTCGCTATTCGTTGACGACGCGAGCATCGTGCAGTACGCGGACGACACTCAGGTTCTCGTGGGCGGGAGGCCCGGAGACATTGGCGCCCTGATCGGATCCATGGAACGAAATTTGTCACTGCTCTCGAACTGGTTTGGCAAAAATGGTATGAAAATCAACGCTCAGAAAACTCAGCTCATTGTTCTCGGCACTCGTCAAAATCTCCGGCAGCTTCCAACAGTCAGCATCAACTTTATGGGCGCCACTGTCTCCGGCTCTCCCGCGGTGCGGAATCTGGGTGTCGTATTTGACCAATGTATGTCGTTTGCCGCCCATACCGATGATGTCGTCCGGCGCTGCACAGGCATTTTAATCGGATTGAGTCACTCTAGACATATTTTACCGCATTCGACGCTCACCACCCTAGTCCAAAGTCTAGTCATTTCGCTCATCCGCTATTGTATCAGTGTGTACGGCTCCTGCAATACCACTCAGCTCGCACGTCTGCAAAAGCTGCTGAATTTCTCAGCCCGTGTGATATCGGGGCGTCGGAAGTTTGATCATGTTAGTGACGTACTACGTGACCTGGGATGGCTGTCCGCGCGTAACATGTACTTATACCATGTGCTGACCCTATTGAAACGTATGCTGGTCACTGCGCAGCCCGAGTCAATCGCGAGTAGAATAGTGCATAGACGTGACGTACATCAGCGAGCCACAAGACAGATAGATATGCTACATGTGCCCAGAATCAAATCGGAGTCCGGGAGGAGACGATTCCTCTTTCCCGCCGTGACAGCTTTTAATAGCCTACCACCGGCGATGTGTGACCTGAACCTGCGCGCGTTCAAGGCAGAGTTGCGCCGGCACTTGTTGCGACAACAGGCGGCCGACCGTTAGCAATACTTCATGACGACACGTTTGTGAGAGAGTGACTGCGAACGAATGTCTGTCTGTGTGCGTGCGTGCGTATGTTTTTCCCACGACACCCATCATTTTATATTGCGACCCTGGTTCAGGAATAGCCATTTTTGTGGAATGAGCCTACGATGTCAAATAAATAAATAAATAAATAAGTAAGTCTTGTGGAATCAACGTCGAGACGAAGGATGCTTTAACCTAACAGCCGCGCAACTGGTAGGTTCTTAGATAGCTGATGGCTGTTGCGTTGATTGGCTTGTGTTAGTTGGGCTCGCTGTTTTTTTTTTGTTCTTGCCCGAGCGCTTTTGTGACAACTACCGTTATGCATAAGCGTTGCACATCACTCAATAAAACTACTGATGTTCGAAACTTGATAATACAGAATGCAGCTTGGAGAACGTTGTCCGCCATTACAATCAGCATGACTTACATACCGGCGCCAGCCGCCATAAGAACCAATACACAGGGGACACATCAACCAACCTTCCAACGATAGACGTTCGGCCCGAATGGATTGTCGATAGCAATATTACCCGTACTGCGACGTTATGCACGGCAATAAAACAAAACTATGCAACACATTTTGTGAGACAGGTATCGAACTTCAGCATGCAAGTCGCTCATTATCCGCTATACCATCGGATGACCGATAAAAGGGCTCAATAAACGTTAGCCGTTGAGCGTACAGGTCTCGCGGGTTTTAGCGGCAGGTTTTGCACCTATGAAATTTAGTATACTTTAGGCTATATCTTGGCCGTCTAAAGCCTTTGAGTGTTGAAAATGCGATAGACTTGTTCGTTCACAAGCCTGCCATGGACATTTTTAAAATGGCTTCATCGTAGATCGATTAGTCTCTGAGATATAACAGGAAATGTAAAAGAGCAAAACCTACCGCTTAATCTAGCGAGAGCCGTACCTAATTGCGATGCAATGTGGATAGAAACATCGACTTTGGGTCCGGGCATCCTTTGGATAATTTCTCCAAGAAGTTATAAAAGCAACGAAAATTACACAAATGATTAAAAATAGTTTTTCAGACTGAAAAAAAATATTTGACAACCTTGTAGAAGAACCTGCAGGCTGGCCTGTAAGCAGGCGTTCGTTCGAATGATCTACACTCGCACTTGTTAGGCTAGCCCGCAATACAAATGCGCCTTGCGGCACAGCCTACCAGCCAGACGAAACGCGCTGCGGGGATGGACGGTACGACAAACACTCGCATATTTTTCAGCTAAGCTGATCCAATGAGTGGGAGTGGGATTGTAAATGGGACTCTTTTTCGGTAAGTTTCCCGATTTTTCTGATGAACATAAATTTAAAGTCTTTTTACTGTCTGAGGACTGTCTGTGTGAAGATCGCAAGATGACTGCACTTTAGGACTGTGTCTGAGGTCCACTTGAGTAGGACAGGCATACCAAACCGCTAAACTTTGGTTTAGCTGTCTCACTGCTTGGTGTGTGGGGACTGTGAGGACTGGTTGAGGCCAGCTTGAGGACTGTCTGACCACTGACCTTCGGTTTGACCGCTCCGTTGCCGGGCGTGTGAGGACTGTTCACACGCTGTCCGTCCGCAGCCCGCCGTCTCCTGCTCTCTGGGCTGAGGCTGGAGAGAGAGGAGCTGCGCTGGCGAGGTGCCGCCGACACCACCTCCACCGGAGAGCCCTGCGCGACACACGATAAACTCAGCGGCACTGATGTTACTGCCGCAGTGGCGGCGGAAGGTAATTTTGGATGGGGGTGCAAAGTTTTCTCAAGGGGCCCCTCTGGAAGTTTTGGGCCCCCCTTCATTTTTTTAAAGTGATTATTATTGATTTATTAACCCTCGCCCGCACATGGGGGGGGGTTGCCACCCCCCCCCCCAGGTAGTCTTTCTGCTCTGCACTCAACATTTTTAGAGCTAGAAGGCTGATTTTTCGTATAGCTGCTCGTCTATCCTTTCTTGATGTCCACTGAAAATTTCAAGTTTCTGTAATTTTTGGTTTCGGAGATATGACCTTGTTTTTCAGGTCATGTCATGACCCAAATGGCCAATTCTCAACATCTTTCGCTTGCCATGGGCCTTGTGAGCTTTTGACACCCTGATTTCGGCCTTTTTGCCAGTCTTACCTCCCACCTATCATGGAACATGTTGTTCGACGATGTACAGGGGTCAAGGTCAGGGTCAAGGTCAACCTAGGTCATCTAAGATAATTGCGTTTTAGGCAAGCTGAATTTACTTTTTGTGAAGTTTTTTGACTGCATTTTTGGTAAAAGCTTCTCAGATCATGATTTCATGTAATATTGTCCAAAAACAATCGGTGCACACATCAGTATACACACTGACACACACAGACATACAAACACATATAATTGACCTTGACCTAACTTGACCTGAAATGACCTCAGCAGCAAAATTCTGGTCGGGTAGTGTGGCAATGAGGTTCTAGCTGGCTTGGCACCAGAAAACAGCATCGTCATCGGTATTTGATAAGCAGCGCACTTGATATCCAACGGTGACCCAAAACAGCAACATTTTTTAGTTTGACCTGACCTGGAAGGTCAATGACTGACCTGAGAAGGTAAAACTGGGTATCATTGGATTCGTCTCTTCCCAAAGAATCTTTTTGGTCTTTACTGCTAAGCTCTATCTCCAACAGGAACGAAATGGCGCGGGGGGGTTGGCAACCCCCCCCATGTGCGTTCTAGGATGGGAAAATAGCATGTTCGGGCGAGGGTTAAAAACGAAGATTTTGGAAAACTATCCCCATACACACAAGTTCTGTAAAAGGTTTGAAATTGCAGTGTACATACATACCTATCTCAAATAATGAGAGCATAAAGAAGCAAATGCAGCTATAGTTTTTTATTGGCTAATCTTTTAGTCTAGCCACCACCCGCAGCGTCTCAAACCACTTTCTGGATCCGCAGTGGACCATTTAGGGCCCTACGAGACCGTTCCAAGATGACCGTGTTTAGAAACCCCTTGGAAACCGACCACATAGAGACTCCTCCAGAGACCTACATGACTCCCCAGACTGAATGAGCCCTCCGATCAGGGTCGGTCCCTTGGAAGTTGCTGAAAGGTTTCAGATGGCAGTTTAGGCTCGAAAGTCTTTTGAGGGCTCTCAGAAACCGGCATCGGACCCCAAAAAAGCCTGTATGGAGGCCCTCCAAAGCCGGGATGGAGGCCACAGGAGCCGATGTTTAGCCTAAGAAACCGGTATGGAGGACTGAATAGAGGAAAGGGGTCTCAGTGGGCCGTGGGGCCTTCAGGGGCAAGCGTTTGAGCCCCAAAAGTATGTGTGGGATCTTAGAGGCAGGTAGACCCCTGGGATATGCACGGGGTCCCAGGAGCTCGCGTGTGAGCCCAAATATTCGGCTGGCGGCTACTAGAACTAGCATGGAGATTCTTAGGACTTAGAAGCCGCTTAGACCCACATTTCATGGGTCATGAGTCCCAAGAGTCGATGTAGGGCCATAAAAGCCGGTGTGGGGCCCATGGCCCCAAAGTTCCGACATTGAGACTCTCAGAGGCCTGCGACGGGGCACCAAAAGCAGATTAAGTGCCTCAACAAGCCGACATGGGGCCTGAGAATCAGTGTGGAATTCCAGGAGCCTGCGTAAGCTCTCGGAGACCTTCGTATTTCGTAAGGTCTACAAAGGTCGTTGGGTCCTCTGAATCTGAACTTTGCGGGGCCCTCAGAGGCCAGCATGTCTCCTGGCACCTGCCTGCGTTGAGGTGAGACCCTCCGAGGCCGTCGTAGGGTTCTTCAGAGGCCAGCGTTGGCCCTTGAAGCCTTCGTTAGGCCCTAGAAGCCGTCAAGAGGGCCATCAGAGGTCAGCAAGGCCCCTGGAGCCTGCCTGCGTCGAGGCCCTCAGAGGCCGTCGTGGAACACTCAGACGCCAGCGTGGGCCTTTGGAGCTTGCGTTGGGTCTTAGAGACCATTGTGAGGGCCCAGAGAGGTCGTCGTCAGGGCCCTCAGCCCCTCAGGGACCATCCTTGGGTCCTCAGAAGTTGTTGTGAGGGCCCTTAGAAGCCATCGAGAGGATCATCAGAGGTCGTCATGAGGGTCCTTGGCCATAGTGAGGGTCTTCATGGGCCCCCAGATACCTTTGCCGGGCTCTCTGAGGCCTTGGTAAGACCGCTAGAGGCCATCGTTAGGGCCCTCAATAGACCCTTGCAGGGCCCTCAAATGCCAGCATAGCCCCTGCAGCCTGGTTATGTTGGGGCCCTCAGAGGCTGTCGCTGGGCCGTCTGAAGCCAAATGGGCCCTCAGACTTGAGTTGGGTCTAGGCCGGGCCGTCACGAGGGCCCTCAGAGGCCAGCGGGGCCCCTGGTGTCCTGTGGGACCCTCAGCGGTCGTCATGAGGGCCCTTAGTGGTCGTTATAGGGCCCCAGGGGACAGAGGTCGTTGTGAGAGCCCTCAGAGATCGTAAGGGCCCTCTGAGACCGTCATAGAGCCCTCAGAGGCCGTCATAGGGCCCTCAGAGGCCAGCGTGGTCTCTGGAGTCTCCTTGGGGCCCTAGAGTCTCTGTGGGACCCTCAGCGGTCGTCATGAGGGCCCTTAGTGGCCGTTGTAGGGCCCCAGGGGACAGAGGTCGTCGTGGGAGCCCTCAGAGATCGTCATAAAAGGGCCCTCTGAGGCCGTCGTGGGGGCCCTCAGATGCCGCATGGAGCACCAAACGCGGCTCGGAACACTTTTAGTCGGTGTGGGGGCCCCAAAGACTAGCATGGGGCGCTCCTGACCATAACTGGACATCCCGGATGATTCCACATCAGTGTTCGCTTCTCGATCACTGGTTTTCAGGAGAAAATGTATTGAATGGTGCGACGGGCCCCTTGTACGGATTTTGGGGGTGCAAAAAGATATGTTTGCACCCCCATGTTTTTCGATGGGGGTGCAGCTGCACCCCCTGCACCCCCTATTCCGCCGCCACTGGTTACTGGACAGTAGCCAAGCAAACTACAAATACGCTGTGTGAAAAATTGTACTCGTGCACGTTGAGATACCATAGTCTGCTTTTCATGTTAGATAGCATCGAAAGTGTGTTGGGAGATATTTGCAGAGCAATGCTCTAAAATTAGGAATAAGTTTGTTACCACCGAGTTCGTGCCCATCAAAAACAACACAGGCTATAACTAAGTCGCCGGCCGTCTCTTACCGCATCCTCTGAGCGGCGCCTGGCGACGGCAGGCTGCTCCACCCTGGCTCGGTGTCCGTCCCAGTCGGACTCGGCCTCCAGCTGGTTAGCGTACTGGGACCGCCACGCGGACTGCTGACGGCGTCCAGACTGCTGCTCAGTCTCCGGGGTCGTCTCAGAGGTTGGTGCTGGGGTTGTGGTGGTGGTAGGAGGGGCGGGCGGAGGGGTGGATGGGGCATTGTCACCGGCCGCCTCAGGCTGGTCTTTGGCGCCTCCCGTCTCCAGGGAGTCGGTCGACATCGACGACACGCAGATCTCCTCCTGGCTGGACGTCAGGCTGAAAAAAGCAGAGGAGACACCGTCAGCCGGAACAACTAGGAGCAGAAATCAGAAGATGTTTTAAGGGCCAGTACAATGTCTGGTGTCTCCTCCTGCGCAAGTTTATCCGGGCCGTCCACCACTCTTTCCCTGTCCGCCTGAGTCCGTCAGACCGACTGTGTTCACCCGTCTTTGTCCGACTGTTCAATGTCCGGTGTCTGTCCTCGTCCTCCCATACCCGTCTGAATCTGTTCGCGTCCGCTGCGTGTCCGTCGCACCGACCTGTCGCGGTCGTCGGAGCCGTTACTGGAGCCCGGCGCCGAGCTGCCGGTGGCCCGGTGACTGCCGCGGGGTGACATGGCCGCGTTCTGCCACTGAAACAGGAACAGGGAGACCGGCATAGCGGTGAAATCGATACCAGAGCCCCAACGGTGGACTCAGACAAACATACGGCCTCGTCAGACAGGCAGATGATGGTCGGCAGGAGCATACAACTGCAAGGAAACATGTCTATTTGATGCTGTTAAAATGACTCAAACACCATTTAAGACGTTCTGCTACCTTGCCATGTTCTAGGCCAGCAAAGAGATATTCTGAGAATGACTAGAGGCCGCCAGTTCAACCCTTAATACAAAACGCTGGCGGTCTGTTTCATAATTAACATCTGTAAAAGTTATTCTGACTAAACTTCTCACCTCTCGTTTAACATTCAACTGCTATTAAATCATGTATGTTTGCGCAACAGCCAAGCTGAAGCATACATTTTTAGCACGAGCTTGGCTCGGGCTAAGCCTGTCCCAAACGAGGAGGTCTGATATTCACACTCTCCCAGCCGCTCCCGGCATTTTCCTATACTCTCCCCAGTCCCCTCCCCGTTTACCTTACCCTCCCCACAGCCCATCTCCGATATCGCTATCTCAGATTACCTCCTGAGAGCGCCGTCCGCGCCAGACACCACATTGACGTCACAGAATGACGCCACAGACGGGGATTGACGTCACACCCTGCTCACCTCGACGTACGAATCCACGTAGGGTTTGAGTGCGGGGATCATGAGCACCTGTTCGGCGGAGGGCCGCCGCTCGGGCTGGGTGCGCAGCAGGACGGTCACCAGATCTCGCAGCAGCAGACTGTAGTGGCTGTCAACGGAGCGATAGAATTGTATAAACGCACGAGCGATCGTGTTTAAACACAGCAAGAGAGAGGGAACGATATCAACTATTCATGATAATTGATCAATGATCGATATTGAACTAATCAGAGATCGTAAGCATGGGACAAAAATAGGAGACTGCCGGTTAAAAAAAAAAATCAGCTCACCTCTTTGTAGTTTAAGCCTAGACAATTGACATTGGTATACACTGCAGGATGTTATAGATTGTTTGAGGTACATAGTTTCACTACGCCGTAAGTAACAACTAACAATGCGGGAATTATTTCTTTGACGCTGGAAGCCGCTGACATTCGGGCTGTTGCAGGCACAGTCAGCACAATATAGCCACCGCTTTCACATTGTGCGGAACTGAGACGGACCGCTATCTGGCACAGCGGCCCGGGCACGATTTACGAGCAATTTTTCTTCCGACCGAGATGCCGGGATGGGAGATTTCTAAAGAGCAAAGGTCAACAAGACCATGCCATTGAAGAAAGGAGGATCGCCGAATTGTGAATCCAATGTTTCAGTATAAGTAACCAAGCCACAATATGGCCCATTTACCGACTACCGTCCGACACATTCAATCAATGCGAAGAAATATGGACATATTATGCCATATCTTTACATTCGAAACTATTAAAAGGTGACCTAGATTCAAACAGTGAGAACAACGAAGATTGCGAGCAAAGTAAATATCAACACTGCCGATTCCACGTCACCAAATACCCATATAAATGTGGGGCAGTCGAAGATCGATCCTTACCGCTGAGCCCAGTAATAGTCACCGACCCCGCCTCATTGCTGACCTGGGTATGGGGCTGTAGCGGGCCTGAAGGATCTTCAGCACCAGATTCTCGAAGCTGCTGGCGTTGAAGGGATGGGTGAGACAGCACATCTCGTAGACGATGCAGCCTACGGCCCACTGGTCAGACTTGTGGTTGTACGGCTGTCTGAAGACAAAACAAACGAATCAAAAGCAAAGCATCGTCGTTTATAGCTAGCCTGCAACAAATCTCAATTTTGGAAAGGTTTGTAAAGTTCATATACGTCAGCAAGGGTAAGACGCGCCGTTATATATTATATGGTTCCGACTCTGTCACTTACCTCTGGCAAATCTCCGGAGACAGGTAGTAAGGTGTTCCTATAGCTGTAGTCGCCAGCTCTTGGGTACTCCGCAAGGTTCGAGCGATACCAAAGTCGCCGACCTTCACTAGATTTTCACTCGTCAAAAATATGTTTTGGGTCTTCAAGTCTGAAAAATATATCACGGCATTGAATAAAATTACCTTCGTAAAAACACTGTCTTACTTAGCACGACACAAATATAAAGATATAAATATAAACTTGAATTGTATAATATGTCCCTTTGAACGTTTAGGTATATTTTATTGTTCTGATAGCCTGTACCTACGTCAAGCGATTCAAGAGAAGAAAAATGAAATTTATCATAGAAATATATTGTCCTCCTCCTCACCTCTATGTAGGATATTTTTGCTGTGCAGGTACTGGACAGCAAAGGTGATCTGGATGAACCAGTTCAGGATCAGCTCTTCCGGGAAGTGATCGTTGGTAGCTCGCTGGTTCACGATGCGAGCGTACAGGTCACCTGAAAACAGCCGCAGAAAGTAACAAGCCAATTAGCATATTACAGATACCTATATAGCGGCAGTTGTTTAGAGCTCAAACATAATTTTTACTACAGGCCGTTATCATATTGAAATTTAATGTCCAATTAAGAGTGTATTCCTAATGGAAATCGCATTCAAAGCCGATACTATTCGATTATACAAGCGAAGATATCATTCGAAACCGATAGTCAGCGTTTTCACCGTACTCCTGCAATCACCCACACAGCGCCTCCGCGGAGAGCGAAGCGGACCCACCTCCGTCGGCGTACTCCATGACGATGTTGAGAGAGCCGGTCAGCTGGTCGATGAACGCCTCCTTGTAGCGGATGATGTTGACGTGCTTGCACTGCGACAGGATGGCCACCTCGTTGACGCTTTGCTCTCGCTCCTGCTCGGGCAGGGCCGTCACCTTGATCTCCTTGACGACATACTGACGTCCGCTGGCGCGCGACCGCACCAGCCACGCGTGGCCGAACGTCCCCGAGCCGATCTGTTCGAGACGCTCATAGCGCGCCGCGCTGCCGCCGCTGCCGCTGCCGTTGCCGGTGCTGCTGCTGCCGCCTCCTCCACCGCCGCTCATCGTGACCAGGTCACAGGCCGACTGACCGGGCGCGCGGCGCGCCGGCCCGGCCGCCGGGTCAGTCTCTCACCGCCCCGGGCGGGTCGCGGCAGGGGCGGACCCAGTGGCGGCGGAGAGGGGAGTGTTTGCAGAGGCGAGCTCAGGTGTACTCGTAATGGCTAGGGAGGGGAAGCATAAACTCTGTGTTTGGATATTGAAGCTGGCGCCTAGCTATATGTAACGTATGCGTCATAACCAGCGAGATATATTGATGTTGTAGGGGACGGATCTTTTATCGAGAACAAGGCGTTGAACTTAACTATCTGACGTTGATGGAAGAATGGCCGACAAAAGACTTTTCGTATATGATATTGAATTTCTACTGCATTGCCGGAAAAACGTTTTATCTTATTTCTGCATGGCTCAGGAACCGGGCTAGCGGAACGTGGAAACACTCCCCACCAAACGCTGTGTAAGTATACCCCGCGTTCGATGTCTCTCGGACGACGAAAATTCTACGGCCAATCCCGTTCAAGGTCAGCGGGGTCTCGGCTTCGGTTATGGAACGTGATTAGCCGGACGACGTATCGTCGTCCGAGAAACATCGAACACGGGGGTAATGTCGCCCATTTGGTATTCAGTGCCAAGAGCCTATTTGGATAGTACCTATCTCCCCCTGCAGCTTTTAATGCCTACCACGCTTCTCGATCCACCAATCACGGGTGAAACTTTGTGCGAAACTGGGAGGGCCCGCGGGCGCAGCAAAGCAAATCCGCCGCCGCCCTAGCGATGACCTTGACCTCCGCGGTCTGTTGCGGCTCCAAAGCCAAGCCGGCGTCGAATTTGGAGAGCTCGGGCCCTTCCAGCCCTCCCAGCCCGACACAAAGTTCCACCTATGCACCAATGCTTTACTGATTCCCAAATTCCATTGCTTGTAGATATGCTATGCGGTACAGTATACTTTCAGGTGCTTACTGCTAACGCCATCTATAGAGTGGTTAGGTAACGATAGTTTATTCAATGTAGGTGGCGCAGCATGCATCGTCGCGTAGCCTGGAATCACGGCAAGGAAAGCCGCTATTTCTGAGTGCTGCCTGGGAAGAGAGGAGGTACAGGGACCCGCAGTTGCTACTGTACACATATCAGACTTGTAAACGATTCAAAAAAATTCAATCAATTCAATCACGACTCACTTGATGAAATGACCGATTCAATCATAACTCAATCAAACAGTCTGATTTTCCAAGCGATTCAATCACGACTCATGGACCTTGTGATTCAACTCAATCACGACTCATCCCATTATCAGTGATTCAGGGAATGACTCAACTCATGATTTAACTCAACGCGATTCAATCAAGATGTTATATAAAATTTATACATATGTGATATCAATTCAAGACATTTTTGGAAACTGATACAAAACAGATACCAACCAAATACACTAAGAAAATACCAAAAATCATAGAAAAGTACTGAATCTATACTGAACTCAACAAAGCTGTAGATATTTATATAAATACTGTGTATAGATGATAATTTAAGTACAGAAAAGACAAGCTCTGTTACAAATGAAGCTACCAGAGGACTTATAAAAATTCATTTATCTGCTTGGCGCTTGCAAAAGGAAACATGCAAAATTGCACAGGACACTACCACATATTATCAGCATCATCGAAAAGGACCAAAATTTGCAAATCAATTGTGATACCCAAACTAAAATAGCTGGTGATCAGCCATTAAAGAAATATTGATGGATACTTTATGAAGCAGTGGTAAAGCCGGTAAAGCATTACACAGGACTAGACATTTTCGGCGTGCTACAAGTTTTCTTTACTATCAAGAATACGGAATATCGACACATACGAAGCTATTCAATAGTTACATAATATAAACTGAATGCTCTCACGATAAAACTACCTCAACCATCCATATCTTCAATGACAAAATAACAATTCCAAGCCCAACCCACGACACCAAACTTCATACGCGGCGGAGCTGAGTTGCAAGTTGTAAAGGCCTGGCTACCAGGACGCGTTTTCTGCGTGGGTTTTTTGTTTTTGCTTTTGCGAGTTTGCGTGATTTGCATAAAACGGTTCTAGAAAGGAACGATATTATGTTTTGTTTTTGTTATATATAAAAACTTTAAGTATTAGTACTGAAGTACGCATGCGCCAAGTGGGCAGCCATCTTTAATTTAGCAGCAGAACCCCAACCATGGATTACTTTGAACTATATAAAATACATAGTTTATATTTTTAGATTCAATTAAGCATATTTATGCATGCATGTAAAACAGTTTTTTATCCTGTCCAATTCATTAAAGAAAAATATCCAACAGTAGAAATCTAAATTGGTTTAGTAATATGCAATGTATTTAGCCCAGCACTAGGTAGTTGCAGCGTATATTGACGCAGCTGTGACATAAAAGCGTATTTTGCGTGGTTTGCATGTGGCAAATATTGCGAGCAGTCTGGCAAATCTCTTAATCCGAATTTAGCATCGAATGCAAAACTGTTAGCGGTCCTCAAAACTAGAAGGTGAAGAACACCAAACGGATAAAATTGTTTGTTGAGCTATGAAAACAATAGTTTTTGGGTGATGGTGGTGATGGGAAGGTGGTTGTTTTTAATACCTAGTAGGGTATGTATCTACTTTTTGCCATTGTATCTTTACTTTTGTGTAATTGGGAGCCACCACGGCAATATGTGACAGATCCATCAACGCTCATAAGCCAAGGTATTCCAATTATTTACGTTGATAGGTAAACGCTGATTCTGCTGGGAAATGTAAAGTGAGTGAGAAGACCATGGGTTAGATCAAGCAATTTATGACCCTTAGCCCAAAATCAAATCAGTAACTAAGGTTACCAAATTATAATGTAAACATGCATTGTGTATTCATCAATATGTTTTGCTTGCTCACAAATGTCCTGATGAAACAGGGTATTGAAAATATAAAGATTAACATGATATCTAAAACATGTGTGTTGAGCAATGTGCGCCTGCTTACTGCTACTGTTAACTTGATTACCATACTGATTTTAGGGCACTGGAAAGAAACTTTACATTCTTTTTTTCATCTTCATGCACTGACATTTATGTATAATTTTGTGTTTACAGTTTGATTAAAACTTAAAACAATTTTTTTTTTCAATAATGATAGCTGTGCGCATTTATAATACTGACAAAATACCTAAAAATTTTGTAGTGCATTGTGTGTGACTATGATGCTAATCCACATATATTTCTACATAATATAGTACTAAATATGGTCATAACTTCAATTTCCAGCACATGGTTATTGAATCATTTTGTTAATTCAATCAACTTGAATCGATGAGTTGCCGATTCAATCACTTGCAGTTGCCATGTGTGACCGATTCAATCAGGATTCATATGGTGACAAGAGGTGATTCAACCGACTCAATCACAGTGAGTCGGCATTTTCAAGCGATTCATGAGAATCGATTCAATCAGAGTTGAATCGCTTACAAGTCTGACACATATATTACCAATTTAGAATTGCGCTATTATTTGCTAAGTGCTGGCCATTGGAGAAAGGAAATATAGCGCAAAGTATGGAGGAATAACACATGTTTGCTCCTAGGACGTATGTTTTGTATAATTCCTCTTACCGCAACAGATATTCTTCCAAAACTACAATCGTGCTATTTTTCCGCGCCGGTCGCCTCCCCAGAGCCCGTCCTTGGTATCGCCTATAGCTCCCACTCCCGCTACGTGAATGAAAGTCACGTGACTACTACATGTTTGCGCTCAGTACTAACACACCTAGCCCGAGGGCCGGTCCGTAACGGGGAGGGGTGGAACGCCAGAGCTCCAGCGCAGTGGAGGTAGTGGTGGCCCGTATCATAAAGAGGCAACCGTAAGCAGAACTATAATTGCCGTAGTATAAGGTTATGATCAAGTTTTCTTTATATGTATTGATTGACAAGAAAGTGCAATGCTTATCCGATATAATAAAATGGTGTCCAAGGCCTTGCAAGAACTATAAAACATATTCAGCAACGTATAAATTTCTGATACAGGCCATGACCCTTCACCTTGCCTCCGGGGAGGATCGCTCAGGAAGCCACATACCGAACGAATCGAGGCCTCGCAGCGCGGCGGCAGAGGAGGTGGATAAACCATCGCCAGATCTTTCGATTACTTATGTTTCCAGAAGAAGGAGGGGGAGGGGGGATGGAGGGGGAGGGCTGTTTTCAATCCACTCACCAATCCTTTCCTTATTAACTTATAGCTTACCGAAAAAATGCAACACAATGGTGGCCGTCACGAGATGTAGCGAAGAGTGCCTCAGCCACACCGGTTTTGAGTAAACTTTAAGCATTGGAATTCAGGCCAGTGATCCTGAAGCATTATTTTATTTTTGTCGTGCATAAGCTGGGACGACGTGGTCCAAGTTAGTTGCGAAGAAACGGTTTTAGTTTCAGAACATTTATGAGGCTAGTCGCGCCAAATAGTAGGTATACGTTTGTTGCAAAATGTCAAATAGAATGTTGACGTGCTATCCAGATGATGGAATTTATTTGACACAATAACTCAAAAAGTGGCATCGTTAGTCATCCTGCATACCTACCTATAAATCGATTCGTCACCTTGGTTCGAGCTCAATAGTTCTTTTCGCGGATGATCGGTTTCGTTTTCTTTTCTTTCTTTTTTTTTGGGGGGGGGGGGACAGTTTATGAGCCAGTAACCATGCCCTCCCCAGTCCCCCAAACAATTGTTGACAAATACTGTGATGGCCTAAAAAATGCCCTCAATTGTGTTACGTAGGGGTGAATGAGGTAAGTTGAGCCGCTTTTTGTTTTTCGTAAGCTACAGGCATGGCTACAGGCTAACTTACTGATCATTTTTCTGCGTTTACGGGTTGGACGGACAGAGTGGTCATTTGCGCATGTAATGGTGGCCAGAAATGTTTAATACCGCTTATTTTTGTACTGAAAAGGCTACGTCAAAAATCATCTTGCACGTTGCTCATCTTACCCCATGGGCGGGGTAAGTTGAGACACGTCGTGGGGAAAGTTGAGCATGGATAGAAAGGCGAACCTCTTCTTTTCCCGGGCGCGGCGAAGAGTGGGCTCTTTTATTTACTCCATGGCATACATACTTATGGCAAAGTTTTTTTCCCCATCAAAAAGTGACTGTTTTAAGCCTTCCAATAACTCGTCAAGTTTTCTATCACGAAAGAAATCATTTTATCCTTCAGATAATCTGCAAATCACTTACAACTTCTGTAATCAACAAAAAAAAACATTCCCTACCATTTTTATTCAGCAGAAACAAGCGCAGCTCAATTTGGTTTTCGACAGCGGAGACAACAATGCAGTGGCGGATCCAGGGGGGGGGGGCAAAATGGGCATTTGCCCCCCCCCCCAAACGGCATGATTTTAACATTACGCCTATGGGCGATGCATGGAAAGAATCGACAAATTTTTATGGTTTGCCCCCCCCCCCCCAAACCTCTGAGCTGGATCCGCCTCTGCAACAATGGCTTCTCCGGCTCATCTTCCCCCAGGTGAAAATGGCTCATCTTGCCCCACCCGTGGCCATTTTCGATTAATGACACCCGCTACGGAAAATAACCATGCACCGCAGATAACAACCATCTCATTTTAAAGGCAAAACATGTCTTAGTTATCAGGGGCGACACCACATGTTACCGGGTGCTGAGCGTGAGAACGTTGCCGTCTCACGTGAAAGACTGCTGCATCGTAAGCGAACGGCACATGGAAGCTCAAGTCAATTAGCGCCATAGGGGCTGAGAAACATGGGGTGGCTAAACTTGCCCCTTGGCCCATCTTACCTCACTCTCCCCTATTTGGGGCTCTCAACTTTGATTTGTTTAAGTTATTTGGCTGTTCATTATAAAAGCTGTCAAATTTGCCGTATCATTAAACTTTTATTGAGTTTGTATTGAACACTTATCTAAAATGAACAATTTTGTCACTGGCTTCTTTTATGACTGGAATTGATGGTCGCCATGGTCGCATGAATGAACGAATGAATATCTCCATTTGAGCATCAGCTGAAATCGATCCTAAAATTTTATCTACCAGTCTGCAACGAAAAGGTTTAAAAACCAGTGCAAGTTAGGTGCAGTTTCTAATATATGCCGTCTTTTATTAAGTGTCTCATAGCTCCTTAATCTTGAGCCGCTTCTCTCACGATTCATTTTATGTGGTGCTTACATTGTTCAAGAAGTTATAGTATTCGAGCTCGTTGGTCTTAAAAACTGCTATCGAAGTAAATTAAAGTGCTTCGGGCTTCGGCACTTAAAAACCAATCGATATTTAACCCTCACCCATTTAGGCATTTCTTTTCAACGTCTTACATGTAGCGGAGGGGCGTAGAAACCCTCAGCCATTCGGCCTTTGATAAAAAGAGCCAGAGCTTCGCTGAAAAATAAAAAAGAGTGAGCTGCTCGTGACGAGAGAAATGCGATGATTTGAGGGTCCTGGTCATCGCTGACGAGAGAAAACCAATTATTTTTTATGTCCTGATCAATGCTGAGATCTTAGGTCACTGGTTGACCTCCCAGATCAGGTTAATAACCCAAAAGCACGGAAAATTGGGTCCTGCTAGAATTTCTACAAGTGAAGGTTGCTGGGACTTAACTTGCTTCTGACTCCGAATTTGCACTTGCTTTGATCAAAGATGATGTATCAAAGCATTTGGGGTAGGACGGGTCACGCCAGATCACCCATTAGGCGTTCTGCCGGCTATCCATAGAATGTTAACCAGCACTTACAACCTTGCAACATATTGCATAGGCACTATAACTGATACCTAAGTATGCCTAGTTTTCAAATGCTAAAATGGGTGCTAAATTTCAAACCAACAAGTAAAAAGGTATAAATTTAAGAAAGTTAAACGAGATCATTTCAAGTAAATGACGTTAACCTGAGTTTCACCTGACTTTGGCACACACAACAATCAATGAGACAAACATTAGATAGTATATTTCACATGTTGTCACGTTGCTAATCACGAAACGACTATGGAAACACACAGAAGATGTGCGCTGACTTTCAATTGCTATTCTGGCCTGACGTGATCTTGAGAAAAATAATCACAGGTTAAAGGTAATTTGGTTCAGGGATTTAAAATTTCAGACAAGATGCAAAAATGACAATAAGGGCTATTTAATTTTCCGGGAAGTTGTAAAATTGATTAACTCCAGGGCACCAAAGAATCGTCGCAATCCTTCGCTTTGCCGCGATTTATTGGTGAAAAACAGGGGGCGCGGTCTACTTACCTCTACTTATATGTGTGGTGAGGGCTAATATTCATTTTATCTGTGTTGATTAATGTGCAACAATTTCTACATGAACTGAGACCAGTCCATATGAGTATGTTTTTTCTCACGGACAATGACAATATAAAAACAATGCGAATAAAACCAAACGTTTCGTACAACAACGAGCCCTCGTCAGTGGTGAAAAATAAGTGTATAGGTTTAACCCGGCGGCCGCTGGGCCTCCGCGCCACCCGCCGGCCGCTGGGGGGGGCATATAGTTGCCCCCCCTTTACTTCTGCGACGATATCGTCGCAATGCGAAGAGATAGAGAAGCGAAACTTTGCACACATCTTCCTGAATACCTAGCCAAGGTTGTGTCCAAATTTGGTGTCGATCCCATTTGAAGTGACGTCACAGTGACGTCATAAGTGAAATTATAGATTTGCGACTCTCATATTCCTCACGATACATCAGATATATGGGACCGAATATAAAGGGTCAATTATTGGCCAGAAACTAGATGGAAGTGTAGTTAGATGTTTTAGGATGACAGCAGGTGCTGGCTAGTTCATTTACAGTTGAGTTTCACGCTCAGCGTCATCAGAAACGGTCCATATCGGAAAACGGCAAAACTTTATGACGTCACTGTGACGTCATCTTAGGTGCTACAACCACCAAACTTTCCTCAAACATTGCCTAGGTATTCATTTGAAGCTATGCCAAGTTTCACGTTCGTAGCTCATCAGATTTCGGAGATATTTCACAAAACGTAAAGGGGGGGGCAACTTTATGCCCCCCCCCCCAGCGGCTCGTGGGTTAACATCGATGAGAACTATATGCGGCATCGTCTCGGTCTGGCCAGCCGGGTTGCCGATAGAATACACAAATGTTTATAAGCTTCCATGATGTGCTTAAAAAACTGCTGAAAATATATCTTTAAAAATAAAGATAACTACTTCATCGATTTTATCGAAAGAAAACATGTATGCCTAATTACTTATTGTTTGCCACTGACGGAGGCACTTTTTTGTGCGAAACGTCTGGTTTTATTCGTATTGTTATTGTATTGTCATTCCCTGTGAGAAAAAGGATAACTCTTCATTTAGTAATCATAACAGCGAAACGGCTTAATGTAACACAATTCACTGTGTATACGAAACCTTTAAGTCCCTAAAAATAATCCCATTTACAACTTTTAAAAAGATACAGCTTATACAGCTTAGGCATACAACTTTTTTCTGCATTAAGATAATATTCATTTATCTCCACAGAATATGGTAAATTAGTGCTGCTGAAGTTCGCTTTCGAAGCGTCTCCTCCAGGCATTCCACAGCTCTCGTGCCATTTTGGATCACGGAACATGGCTGGGCGCAGGACAGGTCGTCTGCGAGCTTGGACGGACCACGTGACCACCTCCTCCCCTCCCCCTCACTCCCGTCCCCTTCCCCAGCAGGGCGTCCGATCTAACCGCGCCCCAGGCAGTTGGCTCGGTCCGACCCTCCCCATGGTCGAGCCACGGCGGTGTCGCCTGAGTTTGTGCCGGGTGCAAAACTGGAGCAGTAACTAGCGCCGGAACTAGTAGTCAGCACGACCATCGTCAGATGGCAGGAGTAAATGGAATAAGCGGTTCCAGGTTTGAGAAGGAATGGGGCAGGAAAAAGCGCTGATTACAATGTTTTGCTGATATAGCCATAAAAAGTTCACTGAATTAGGAGAGCAGCACATCAGTTTAAAGCCCTTCAGATGGTGGTTTTAATAAGCACAAAATCATTTCCCAATTCGCCTCCAACGGTGTCACAGGCAAAGAATACGCTGAAATACTAGTGTGTACAGAAGCAACTGCGGGTCCCTGTACTAAGCTTTTGCCTTTGACCAAGCCAACCAGTTATATTAGCAAATATTTTATCATCATTTTACCCAAATATTTCTAATGCTATCTCAGAAGTGGCAAATGTTTGTTGTCGTATCACGTGAACCATAGAACGGTCATAGTGAGCCATTGCATGCGGCAGCAAGACGTTGTTTTAATAGACCGATAAGACCATATTTACATTTTTATCAATAAAACTCACGAGGTATTCACCTCATATAGCGCAAGATTTACATCTACACCATTATACCATCGATTACACTTTATTTCTCAGAAAAGTCGAAACCAACCAATGTCTTTTCAATTTTATTACAGAGGTATCGTTGTGAAAAGAACGACTTAAGCAACAAACCGCATCACAAAACGAAACAAGCCCGAGATTCTCGAGCAGACGATTCCCAGTCTATAACGTAGGTATAGCTACAGTGCACTCCTAAGCTTCGGGTTCGCTGTCAAAACACCAGTATCAAACAATCACCCTTTTCGCTGACGGATAATGCACCAAAAAACCTGCTTTCTGAGGCCGAGTAGGTTTGTAACAGTTATCAGAGCCATCCCTCGAAGGTTCGCCAGTCACCCCGAACGATACCCTAGCGTATGAAGGTGTTGGCTAATGCAGTATCCAGCTGCGCCAATGCCCATAACCTCGAACAAGCTGACAGCGATAAAGGAAGCCCAGGTAAGCGTTACGAGTTCATCGATGCACCAGCTGGTCACTCTCCGGTCTCCAGCAACACCCTGAACTCACGCAAATAGACTGGCCACCGGCAGTAGCAACGCTATCAGGTACGTACTTCTCATGACAGTCAACCACGTCGTTTCTACGAGTTGGCACAGCGATATTATCAAGCGGAGGCAGGTGTCAGTCGCACGCCGCTCACTCCAAGCGTCACCCTTAAGTCCAGGAATGAATTAAGCGATATTGTCACAGCAGTTCATCATAGAAATACCATTCTGAGGCCCTCAACACACAACACTCGACCCCTTCCTGACGACTTTAGAACTAGTGACGGTGTGAGCAGTCCATGCCTCGGACGGTCGCCGGAGCACAGATGACGTCACCAGTCGCTGTCTGCTGCCGAAGTACCCGGATTGGTAGTCCCTCCGTCAGCAATGACATCATTCGGTGGCCGTCTGGGGGTTGTAGCGCGTGGCGCCGGCCACTGCCAGCTGGTCGGCGCCCTCGTTACCCTTCACACCGCAGTGGCCGAGAACGTGGTTCTGAGAATGAGACAAAAATACAATCAAATGCACGCTAACCGACATTTCGTATGGGAATAAGATAATATCTTAGGTATGGCGGCCTGTGGGTTGGTCAATGGTCATGCCAAAGTATCAGGTGCACAAGTTGCTCCTCACACAAATAAATTACGACGGGACAATGTCTAAAGTTACAACAGGAAATGCTTTTTTACATCGTTTCTTATTTCGGTGATGCCACGTACCTACTTGGTTAGTTTTTTCAGGATGAAGGGGAGGGGAGCACTGAGCAGGACACAAATATAAAAGCACTGAAGGCCGCTCTGGCGTGGTCACCTGCCTCCACACGGCCCCATTGATAACCAGCATCTACCCATTGAAATCGCCTCCATCGATATACGTCCTGAATAGTTACCGATCTGGCCCCGACGATACTCACCCACTTCACATCCATATTATCCATGGCTCGCGCCAGCGCCTCCAGCTGGGTACGGTTCTTGACGGGCCCTCCGCTGGCGAGCGTCCAGCCATTCTTCTGCCACTTGGCCATCCACTTGGTGGCGCAGTTGATGACGAACTGCGAGTCGGTGTGGATGAGCACGCGCCTGTGTCCGGCGGCGCTGGCCAGCTCCAGCGCCACCCACGCCGCCTGGATCTCGGCATTGTTATTGGTGGCCGGCCCCTCGACGGGCGCCGACACGTTCAGCGGGTGCGCCGAGTTGAACCACACGCCGACGCCGGCGCGCGCCCCGTGCCGCCCGTTGAAGCCGCACGCGCCGTCCGTCCACACGTTCAGGAAGCCCTCTGCGTCCACTATGAATTGGTCCGGCGCGGCGGACGGGTCGGAACTGGAAGTGGACGCTGAGCTATCCGCCTTGCCAGCCACGTGTGCAGTCATCTGCTTCTTCAGCTCAGCCATTTCGTTACGGAGGCTGGCAACACATTTGGCCATATCAGTCAATATGACTCTTTTGTCATCCAGCGAGGCTTCAGATGCTGGCGCCAGGTCCGTTGAGGACGCTCCCGCCGCTCGCTCCTGCTTTATCTGGTACGGAGCCGCTCGCGCCGAGCCGGTCACCGATGCTGAGGGAGCCTTTCCAAACGACGTGGCCCTCTTGGTGTTGATGGAGGTCGAGCCCTTGGGTCGTCCAAGATTGTTGTTGGGCACTGAGCAGGGGCCGGTGCCGCCCATCTTGAATGCCTCAGCCTCTTCCTGTGTGGCAAACTTCTTAAACTGTGCCCCTTTGAAGCCATTCACCTGAGCTTGACACTCTTCCCTAAAAACACAGAAATGGAGGAACACAATTGAATACACAAATAGACTCAACAGGCAACTGCAGATTAATTTTGGGAGCATTAAGGGCATAAACATTGTTATGAAATTTAAGATAATTTTTATCAGACATTGAACAATTTTGAATAAGCTTTAACTGTTATAAGTATTGCTTCACCTATTATTAGCAGAGCATGTGTACACAGAGCCTGTCATGTGAAATTAACCATAATAGTCTAACCACTCAATCCAACCCACCAATAAAAAGTCAATTTGCTGCAAAGGATCTTGCTGTTCTTTCAGGACAGTGTCAAAATATTCATGGCTAAGCTGTATCTTGGCACCCACTAGCAGGATTGATATAGGTATAACAATATGTGGGCAGCATAATGTGCTAAAATGGCCTGATATCTATGCCCCAAAGGTGGCTCAATTAGCATATCAAAGTGTATTAAATAAGCAGGCATTTATTAAACTTATAGTCCCCAGCTATATTCATCATCATGTTAGATTCCAGCACATTATATAAATAATGTAACTTCTATTACACCCACTCACCAGGTAAGATACACTCCAGGCTGGAATCCTCTTCTCACAGCATAAAATGGCATTTTTAATTTACTTTTGATTAGAAAGTTTAGGCTGAAAGAGAAGAGGGATATGCTGTAATTATAACCAGACTGCAATGAAAAACAGACTTTCATTGAAGACAACTTTTACAAGTGTAATTTCAGACAACAGGGCTCAAGCTATAGCAGTCAAATTAAAGTTGAAATGTTATTTTATTATGTAGGTACCTACCCCTCTTGTATAACCCATCGACCGTTACCACATGTCACAAATCAGTCTGCAGAATATACGCTTGGACTCTGGATTGAATGGCTTGGTGCCTGGTGGTCACACCCCAATGCATACCTGAGCCTCTCCTATTGCTGATGTCATGCCTCTATGATGATCTCAACGGGCATGCTCTGCGACTGGAGCTCGCCCCCGCCCAACCCTCTGCCCAAGGTCGCATAACGAGCAGTGCATATACTCAAAATCGCTTATAATAAACTAATTAAATTGAAATTACCTCACCTTGTAGCTGATGAATTCGTCTTTCTCACTAACACAGACAAGGTCGTGACCCAAATCCGAAACACCATAAATACGTTCACTGTAAAAATACGGCTCCCTGCATCTCAAAAGACGTAACCGGACAAATCTTCTTTGGCACCTTGTTTGGCACCCCCTTACGAGAATACAAATTCGTTTTTGTTTGTTTGTGATCATGGGCAAATCATAGGGCACAGATTCGTAAGAAGAATTTAATTTGGCAGTTATCGCAGTTTTTAACTTTATGATGTTTTGTTAACATAAAATGTTTTTAATTTATTTAAAATTTCATATCTTTCTCCAAGTTTTCAAAAGTATGTTATTATGAAATATAGATAAATCAAATACTTAGAAGATGAATAACGTTTTTGACTTCAGAGTGAGCATATGTCTTTCAAAAGATGAAAAGATTTTCTTGTGTTTTTCTGCAAGAGCAAAGTGTTCCTTCATAGAATTTGGAAGCGTTTTTGCTTCAACTATTGCGCACTTTTGTCAAAATATTCACCCAAAGACGCGTGGAGGTAGGCGTTGGCGTGGAGGAGTCATGTGTTCATGCGAAGTATTTTTATTGCCCTGGGTTTTGTTTGGAGCGTGGCCTTGCGGGCGTCCATCATGGCTTCCAAAACGGTCGAGATTGCTATTGGAGCTCTTGTAACAGCGAGTTCGAAATGTGAAATCATTGGCGAAGTAGTGGAACAGAGCATTAAGATGATTAACCAAACAAATACCTATCTGGAACAACTGGCTGCACTATCGTCGTAAGTTTTCATGCTGATGCTTGGTAGGTAGGTATACTTGAACATGTTGTGGCCTGTGTACCCAGTGGAAAGTAGGTACCTGCCAAATTTACTCTGTCATTCTCACAACACTTAAGTTTATACTGATACATGTGGTGCAGGGTGCTGACAAGTGAGAGTGGCGTCTGTAAAATAGCTAGGCTGCCCATACCCTGGGTGCTATATTTTTTGCACTTAGTTCCCAGTCTGCAAAGTATGGCAATTTCGATGGGATTTTATTGCTACAGCCTTTTTCGGGTGATGCGTCCTTGGTGAGGTGCGGTGTGGGTTTGGCTTGGTGTGGTGCGGACTTTGTGTAGCATGGTGCAGAGTTGGCTTGGTGTGACTGCAGTGCAGACATAGTGTAGCATGGTGCAGAGTTGGCTTGGTGACTACTGACTGACCAGATGGCAGAGATGAGGAAAATCACAAAATGTTGGAGTGTTGATCCTGTAATTCAGCTGTGCTCCCAGGTCTAAATGTGTGGTGGAACAGACTATGCCAGCAGCACTGGTGGTCGTCCCATGCTGGGACCCAGGCCCAGGCAGAGGCTATTTGAAACCATCGGCATTCAGGCTATAATTACTGAAACGGGCTCCCCCCAAGTTCGCCCAAATCACAGTGCTGGGCGGGGTACATCACAGTGTCGTCACTCGCTTCCGGTGCGTGTGGCGCCCGCGCGGCTCTGCAAGGCGCCGGCAGTAGGCTGATAGGGATGAGGACGGCCGATGGTAGGTATTTAAGATGTGCTCGGCCGATGCGAGGGCTTGGAATTTGGAGACCAACCGCCCCGCCGCCGCTTCAAGCTTTCAAAAATATATCGTGAACTATTTATCGGGTATGTTCGCTGCAGCTTATTAGTGGCGTCAAAAGAATATGAGGCTGTTGCGTTATGCAGCATTGTTAAACGAAAAGCGCCTCGGTTCATGTGAGGGTTTGGCATTGTGGCTCGGTGGTAGGACGAGATGCGCATGGCTGATGGAAGGCCTGGAGGAACGCTACTTTGCCGCGGCTCAAGCAGTCAAGTCCGCTGTGAATGATTTGTATATTATATTTGTTCAACACAGCTAATGCCTAATGATCTAACGAGTGATGGCGAAAACGCATGCATGTGATAGGTCCGCATTTTGCCGTTCATTTTTTAATAACTTGGGCCTTAACAGGTTGTCAAGCCGTTTAGCTAAATGACAGTGTCCGTGTCCACACCGTTGGGGTATCCATGGTGCATCACACAATTATCACCCTGGATGAATTGCCAGAGGCTGGCACTGTGTATGGTTCTTGTATTGGCATGACATGCTGTTTGCTTGAGTCATGGACGGGTATTCCTCGTTTCCATACTACGGAGATGGCAAGCTTGGCTACGGAGATGGTAGACTTATCATTAATTGAGGTCAGTGCGAACTTAGAATGGTCACTTTTGGGTTCGTTGCGTTTTTTTCGTATTATCAGCCCGCTTTGGTGCGGATTTTCCGGCTCTGTTTGAAGCGTTGTGGATTTGAACTTGGGCAGGTGCGCCTCGTCGACCTCCGAGCCATACTTTGCAGTAGGTATTTGCCGAGCCATATGCCGAGCCACACTTTGCAGATTAGCTCAGTTCTACTCCAGCTGCATAGATCACAGCTCACTAGATAGTTTATGTTATGATGCCATTAAGAAAATAGCAAACACAGAATCCAGTTCCTGGCCTTCATGTCAAAAAGCTGACTTGAAATGGAAGATGACCCACAAAATCTTGTCCTGTTTTTGTGTTCTTCTGTTATGGGAAGAACGTTTCTCATGATATTTTTTTCAGACCGTCAGTGAGCTCTTGTCAACTTAATGAAATTCCTGGGTACCTGCCGATGTTACGAGGATGCGTTGCCCGAAAGATCAGTGACAACTTACTGCATTGGAAGGAAAACAGGTGAGCTAGGCTGCCACAATCGGACAAAGGGGAGGGCGTGTATGTGTGGATGCCAATGCCATCCCTATGCGCTTTTTTGCATTGCACATAATGTAAACATCAACAAGTCAAAATATCATCCCTGTCCTCAAAACACATGTCATCGGACATTATATTACATAAAGCGCCGATATGATTCCCTGATGTCAACGGTTGTTTCGGCTTCATCTCATAACGATATTCATGATTGTTATTGAGTGCTAGAAATGTTCTCGTGACGTCACTTCCGAAGCAATATTCGTCAAGCATGTCCCTAGATCGTTTGGAACCTGTGTCTTCATCAGTATGTTTGTGGCTATTAAACCACGCTGCGATCAATCCCATATCTCCCCCCCCGGTATTGTGGCTCAGGCGGGAGCTCTGCGCCGCGGCCGGCGACGTTGTGCGGAAGTGTTCGGCCGCCGACGCCGCCTACCGCGCGGGCGGGCCGGGTCTGCCCTCCGATCCTTCCGACCCGTGCTGTCCGCGGCCGCACGTTCTCCTGGAGACCACCCTCGACTGCCGCGACGCCTTCGCTCAGCTGTGAGTACCGGATTCTGGCGCAGCGGTCTGCAGGCTAGAGATGTGTGTGTGGGGGATCAAATGTCTTACTGAATGTGATGTTATATGGTTGTCGGTTTATCGAATCGTGCTCGATTTGCGATATAAATAGTTGTTTTTGTCGTTTCTACGTGTTAACATGTGTGTAAACATGTGTAACATGTGTGTTCTGCTGCACAAGTAGGTATGTATGCTCCTATTTTTAACCTTCACTGAAAACGCCATTCAAATTGTCAGCTTGTCATTTCTCGACTTCATAGGTATGTATGGATTGAGCAGTTGTATTGAGTAGAAAATACATTTGAAACGACAATACAAACGATCGGTAGTCGTCAAACGATCGGTAGTCGTACTTGTTTTTCAAATCGTTTTAATTTTCGCAGCCCAGTGCAATGCATTTTATTGCGTATTGTAGTAAAAAGCTCTGAAAATGCTCAGATATCCCTTCAACGGTGAAATTGTCGGCTGCATGTCCTATATACCTACATGCCCGAAAACGATGTCGGTTCATTTTGAGAGCCTGTTTATCTGTTTATATTGGATGAAAATTGAACTTAATTTTACTTTTAAGTTTTAATGCTATGGCTCAAATATTTAAATCTGTACTGCTTGTAACGCGGACCGTAGTCATTTCAATTCTCGTGTCTGTTGCAGGCAATACTTGCTTCTCGTGGAGGAAGATGATTTTTCAAACTCATCACAAGAGGAAGTGACAAATATTTTAGAAGACTTAAAAGAAGTTCAAGATATTTTGCAAGGTTGTCAAGGTGCGTAAATACGTTTATACCGCGGACCTTTGGATATTGGTTGATTGTATATCAGTTTGCTTGCATCATGCCTCATTGTAGTAAAGCTGCATTTATTTTTACTTGAATTATTATCGAGCTAAATTACCTAAATCACCCCCTTCCATACGACTGCATGCTGCAGGCTGCTTACTGCTTAGCCCGTTGAATGGCCGACAACGTGAAAAGATCAGTAAGCTGCGTTTGGGGACACGACACCTCTACTGAGATACTTGATTCGATACAGCCATTCTCGTGGTAGATTCGTACTCCGCTAGCTCCGCTGCATTCATCGATTCATTCGCGTGCGCTGATACGTTTGCGTTTATCTCCACTCCTGTGGTATAAAGTGATGTCCCTATGTTCACCCGTGCCGACAGAACGTTTGGATACCCCCAGCGTGGTATCGGTCGTGTCGTGTGTTCGTGTTCACCTGTACCGACGGAGCGTCTGGGTACACTCGGGGGCAGATTGATGTTCCACCACTCCCTACCCATCGGGCTCCCATGGCTCAGCACTGGCTGCTGCCAGTGTTGCCTGCCCTCAGCACTGCTCAGCACTGCCTGCCAGTGCCAGTGCTGCCAGTGCTGCCACTGGCAGCAGCTAGAGTAGTAAAGTAATCTTGGCAGCTAGAGCCATGGGAGCCCGATGGGTAGGGAGTGGTGGAACATCAATCTGCCCCCGAGTGTACCTCCAACGTGGCTTATCTGTTGAGTCGTGTTCTCATGTTCACCTGCACCGGCAGAACGTCTGGAGGTCTGCCGACCGGTGCTGGACGCCGAGGCTGATGACGTCACTCGTGGGTCGTCCCGGTGACAGCTGACAGAGCCGTCTCCGGGCTGACGACGGCTGCCGGTGACGGACACTGAGGATGATGACAGCTCAGATGGGTCGTTTCGCTGACAAGCCACCGTGTCTGACGGTGGTACTGGGCGGATCCAGAGGTCTCCGGCTGTGGAGGTGGTCAGAGCACTTCGTCTCGAAGACATGAACTGCCTTGTCTTACGACATGTGCGCTGGCAGCGATTTTACTCCTGCCTTATGAGTGACTTAATATATCGTTTTGTTTGGGAGTTTTTTTCTACAGTCGCTGGAGATTTGCGACAAACGTAGTAGTAAGACACATATAAGCATGTCGTATAACTTATCTACGAAATAGACTCAATGCAAATATTCGTTTTTCGTTTCGCTAATGTACAGCATACGCCTTACATGATACAACAGTGGTTTGCAGTTGTACCTCAATCCTTTCGAGTCATTTTGTCTGAGTTACTAGCGTTTCTCATTAGCCTGCCAGATGCCAGTTCAAGCAAATGGACCCTCCTTCCGTTGGCCGTTATCTGGTTGACAGCAAACGTCTGTTGAGACTTCGAGTTTCGACTGTTCATCAACTTGTCTTTTTGCTTTCGCTTATTGTGTGACCCTCGGAACGAGTGAGTTTCACCAAAATTTCACAATAAATTCAATTGAATTCTCTTTACCAGGTTACCCTAAATAGCAGCCAGCAGCTACGAACGTTGGGCGAGAGAATAATGCAGCTAAATAAAAGGCTCATTCCTGTTGGCGGTCTACAATTATGGCGCGCCAAGGCGGAAGACTGGCGAGAGAGAGAGAGAGGGGCGAGTTGGGGACGACGGTGAAAACAGAGGGGTGTTCACGGGCACCGCACACTGCTGCGTGCGCTGTGTGCGGTGCGTCCAGCAGGCGTGGGGGTAGGGGATGGGTAGGCGGTTCTGACGTCACGGCTGCGTGCGGTGGACGGTCCGCTGTGGCCAGTCCCGACCGGCCACAGCGATCGCTGTGTGCGGTGACGGAAGGCTGACGTAGGGACGCAGTGGGCGGAGCTTGGAGGCTGTGTGCGGTCCGACCGCACACAGGGCCCGTGAACAGCCCTCAGGGCGCCTGTGGCGATTTGATCAAGGTTCGTGAAATTTACACGTGACGTTTGGCATATAGAAGGCCCTTGGAGCGGGAGCAGTTCCAAATGTCACGTGACTAATATGCCCTCCGGCGCCCTGTTTTCACCGGCGTCCCGAGTTGGGGGCGAGATGTGTGTTATGTTGGATAGATAGGTCAAAATAAATTGACTTGGGACTTGTTATCCCATGAATTCAAGTGGGCAGCTAACAGAAGGTAATTCTCTTCGTACCTTGGACATCGAACTCGGGCCTTTATTCCCTCTTGCTGTCCATCAACATGGTGAACAAGTCAAAGTCAAAGTAGGTTTCACTGGCTCGTTCAGTATGGATGTCTGGTCATTTTATTCATTTTCAGTTCTTTTCTGGTGTCAATTTGTCTAGTTTTGTGTTTTTGACTTGTTTTATTTTTATTTTTTGAGCTTTGGGAGTAGTTAATATTGGTACCTATAGGCCATTTGTTAGCCTTTTCTTCGAATGAGTTTCAGTTTTGAATGAGCCTTCTTCAGTAGGCGGAACTATGGTCAAGCGTACCCATTTTCGGGAACGCATTTTCGTTCCCATAATTGGGAACGATAAACCCAAATATGGGAACGCCATGTAGGCATTATTTAAAACAAGAAAAAGAACCGTTAAATGACGTCCAAAAAATATAAAACGATCGTGAACCGCCTGATAGTTGTCTCAATATTGTTGGGAAAGAGTTTGATATTGTAAGGCCCATCGTAGTTTCAAATCGTTCCCCTATTTCTAAAGCAGTCCATCACCCGGGCCGCGAGCCCAAATTTGGGAACGCTCTCGTACACTGGCGCTGCAAGCGTTCCTTATTATGGGAACGGCGTACCCAAAATTGGGAACGATTTCACCGACGCCTTTCAGGGGCTCTTTTCATTAACAAGCATCACGTCCAACGCCGCAAATTATTGTTAACGCAACAATCATCAGATGACCTTTCCGGCAAGACCGTTGCATGTTTCACCCGGTCTTCTGCGCTTTTATTCCCGTCGATCTCGCAGCGGGCACGCCCCCCTCTGCAGGATTACGTAATCCACAACGCTCAGCGATGTTCAACAAGGTCTTCCATACCTATATCCACCGTCCGTGCCGAGGGTGGAGACATGTCAAGCACCTGTCTGCTAATCACCGAGAGTTGACGAGCACAAGAAGTATCCAAAAATGGGAACGCTTAATATGTTACACCCTCAAAACACCTAGTCCCAATGAAAATCTAGTTTTTTCCTTTCTTAATGAGTGTAAGTGGCAAAAGGCCTGGTAGGATGGGCACGAGGAATGATCGAAATCAGCATAAAAATTATAAATAAGCCACACAGAGCGACCTATATCAGAGAAATTCCCCCCAAACGATCATGCTTAGAAACGCCGAAGACAAAAACCACGCTCATGACGCTGCTTATAAAACAACGCTAAACAGCTAGCATCCAAATAAAATATGTCTTTCAGGGCTGATAAAATACAGCTGAATGATTTTAAACCACTGAAACTGAGTTTACAACAGTAGTTCGGTAAAATCACTGACGTTTCACGCGGTCGATCGCCCCGACACCAAAAGTCAACAATATTACCTCGGGACTGTCCGCGTGTTCGCTTGCATATGTCAGCATCTGGTGTCGCTAGAATGAAACTTCATAACCAGGCGAAAATTATTATACTTGACCTCAAAATGTAAAAAATGCTTCATTTTCCTTAAAATTGCATGTTAAATGTCGTATAACCCATATTTCCACCATTCTGTCATTTTTAAAAAATCATTAAAAATATCATTCCACGGTCAATTTCCTTGTTCCACGGTCAGATTAAAGATAACTTTATGGAGATTTAGTAGATACTTAAATCAGCGTGCACTTTTTTGAGACGTGATGCACTTTTGAGTTTTAGTGGGCGAACGGCCGAAAAATTGCCTTCCGTTCTCATAAATGGGAACGCCCGTTCCCATATTTGGGAACTCCGTTCCCAAAAATGGGAACGTTCCTATATTTGGGTACTCATGACCATAGTTCCGCCTACTGTCTTGTAACATCAGGATTTGCTTACAAGCAAAATGAAGGCTGTTTTTATTGTTGCACATTGTATTTTTAATATCATGAAATGGATTGAAGAGTCTAACACTGGACACAGCCAAACGTTTTCATTGTAGTTAGTTTGTGGCTTTGTGCTGATCTGATTGGCATCATAACTTTCTACAATGCACTTATCTAACACTTAACAGATGCGCACAGTTGGTTCCTTCAATTCTGAAACAGGAGCTTAACCAGACAAAGCTCCCAGCAAACCAGAGCTCTGTTCGGTCACTGTTTTTTTTTTTTTGTCAGCATGCTGTAGGTTTTCCCATATAAGGGAGTTATTGCTGCCACTTCTTGGCCTCTCATTGGTTAAATGAATAGATCACGTGAATTTGACCAATGAGGAGCCAAGAAATAGCAGCATGCTAGCAGCCTGCTGATAAAAAACTGTGACCGATCACTGATCAGTGCCCAGGACAGCAGTCGAAAAGGCAGTCAAGAGGATGTGAGGCAAAGATCAGCCCTTAGCATCTCCAGAACTTTGTGCCTAGCATACCAGCTGGTGTCTCACACCGTGCCCAGCTTCATCGAGAATATATTGACTGTTGTAATGAATCTGTTGCTTTATTTTTACTGAAAGGAAGGTACCGGACAATTTGTAAGGTAGGTATCAAAACTGTTGATGCATTCTATAGTCCATTAGTCTCAACCATCAAAAACAAGTGCTACAAAGCACCTTTACAACAACAAAAAAAAGCATGCCAGAAATGTATTTGTTGTCACAAACAAACTTTGAAGCATTGAAACCAGTATTGTGGGAACATTTTATAAGCCTGCTAATCCTATTGAAGCAGTTGATTTTTTCTGTTGAGGCTGTTCATCCCTAGACCCAAGTTATGAATTGATTTAAATGTATAGTTTTTACATGGAAAGTTAAGCTTAGCAATCAAATATCAAGTGCAAGTTAAGAAATTACTTAGGTGCCATTACAAGACAACTTTGAACTTAGTGTAATTCCATATCAGAAGTGAACTGCATGACAGCATCATATGGATGGCTAGTTGTTGGCACTTCCTGGCTTATTCAGGAAGCACACTTCTGGACTTAGGTCCAATGCATTGTCTCTGTGTCTAGGTTATTGAGCAAAACATTGAACACATTTAATTTTTCTGAATTTAAATGAAGAAATAAGGTACCTAATCAAATGACGAAGCACTCTGGTGAACAGCTTTATATGTAATATATTTAATGGAATAACCTTCTGTTCAAAATTCTAAAAATTGCCAAAAGTTACAAAAAAATCACTTGAATATATTTCGGAGGCGTTCCTTCATCGGTTCAAGTGATAAACATTTATAGCCCCACATTTGCCACACAAACAAAGAAATACGGTGTTGTATTGTGCTATATCAGTCCAAGACATGCTGGGTGTGCTGAATTTATGGGTGGTATGCATTATCATCTTTCTCAAAGTTTGCATACTTGTCCCTTGTTTGTGCTACAGACTAATGCTGTTTTCGATGACAGTAATCGACACCTGTAACTTGAGTTGAGCCACTGGTGCATGTCCTTGTGGAAGGACACATGGTAATCATGTGTTCATACAATCTGCTTGTGAAATGAATAGACTGAATATGTTTTTAAATGGTTAATATATGTACACTGATCACCTGATTGCTGTGATGTTGTGCGAATATTTGAGACTTTGGATTGGTGGCTATCTGGCCTGCAGAGATCCACTATCTTGCATCTCCAATCCTGTAAATATTGTGTTCCCATGATTAAATTTCAGTTTAATTGGCTACATACAACTGTTCACAAGGACCATGTGAGTATGCATGGCTATTCCTCACACTCTGCAAGCTGTGATCAAAGTTAGAGGGAAATGCTTATCAAAGCACTTCTCATAGTTATCTTGGAGGATGGCTACTTGTGATGGCAGATCATCAGCTTACAGAAGCTTTCTCATGCTTTTTGCAGATTTGTCTCGTGTTAGCTCTCTCATGTTAATTGTCTGTTCGTGGCAGCTGTCTCGGGGTAAATGTCTTGCAGTGGCTGTCTCGTAGCTGTGTTCTGGCAGTATCTAAGCTGCCTCTCTGTGTATGGCCGATGGATGTCTCCATACCTGTCTGGACTGACTGTCCACCTGTCAGTACTAACCGTGCCCGTCTGTGTGACCGTACAGGCACCGTCGATGGACAGAGACCTGGTGGTGACGGTCCTGTTCGACTTCGAGTACCACTCCAGCGATGGCCAGCGCGTGCACATGCACAAGGATGAAGAGTTTCTGGTCATACAGCAGACCAATAGCGACTGGTGGCAGGTAAATCACCAAACCTGAACTGCAAGATATTAGCTGCACCACTTGATTGTTTTGCTTTTTACAAGTGGGCACTAGAATGATCTGTGCTTGGTTTTCTTTGTTGCTTCGCTCATTTGCCCCCCCCCCTTTCATATACTGGTATGTATCTCAAGATATGATGACAGTTCATCATACAACAGTCCAGATGTGAAGTTGCCTAAGCTTTAGTATCAATGCTCTGGTATTTCAGTGAGGTTATTATTGTACTCTTTCAAGCAGGTATTTCCTCTAATTTTCCTCAATATGATGACGAAAGAGTTGTAGGGACTCGGGCAACACATAAGATAAAATGGACTGGTTTCCTCTTGCACTGCTCTGTGTGGTGTCCAATGTCCATGGCTTATTTTAGTTGTAATTCCTCGCTAATAATCCACTGCTTTATAGATTCCGTAGATATCTCGCTTCGCCTGCGGCCGCTATCGGGCCAGTTTTATTTGACCGCACACCTTCCTGTGAGCTAACTGAACTCCCCTTCCGTCAGTTAGCTGAATCATACACGGCCTGAGAGGCCTGCAGATGATCAGATTTAGTAAACACGCCAGATTAGCCTGTCACGTCCCGTTGCGACGCTCCCGGTAAAGCCGGCGGGCGGGTGGCGCTAATTCCTGCAACTCTACCGTGAACGCTAGAGCCCCTGGTTAGAGCTTACTACGGCGAACTGTCCCGAGATACACGGGTTGCCGCTGTGCTGTTTGGCACAGGTTGTATGGGCGTGGTTTTGAGTAAGAGGGGGAGGGGGGGGGCCTCTAGACATGAGGGAGGAATGGTTGGGTTGGTTAGGGAGTGCGGCCATCAATATCAACTGTCCCATACTAATCCTTTTACAGCTGAGTGGGGGCTGCGTGATCGTCAGCGTTAGAAGCGTTCTCGCCTTTTTCCTTACCTGATTCCGGTTGACGGAAATCGAAACGTTGACGTCGGGCTTGCCTGACAGATGATCAGCTATGTTTGAGTGTCTCTAAAATCAGACCACTGACATCAGACCCGTGTTACAGGTGATAAGGAGCGGCGAGAGGAAGCCGTTCTATGCGCCCACTCAGTATCTGAAGGTCCAGCCCCGACCGCGGCCTCAGCTGCCGCCCAAAGTTAAACCGGTCAAACGCAATGCCCGTGACAGCAGGAGGTGAGAAAATGGCGACGGAAAGAAAATACAGTCATTGCTACTCAGGTCATGGTCATTACGGAGCGAGCGAAGCGAGCGAAGTCTTTCCTTAGATTAACGGAAATTTCTGAGTATGAGCGGCCGGCCGGCCGGCCGGCCGGCCGTGCGGACGCTTTTGCGAGGCTTATATCTCAGCAACCACTTGGCCGATTTACACGCGGTAATTTTTGTAGGGTAGCTTCATTCCTTCTACCAAGTATTGGACTATTCCCGATGCATATGGGTGACCCCTTATGTATGCACCTGCCACGTGCAAAACGAAGAGGTGTCAGTTTGGTTATTGTTGCAATATCTCGGTAACTACTTGGCCGATTGCGCTGAGAGTTGGCATGTAGGTAGGCACCCACTAGGCACTGCATATCCATGTGCCAGAGTTGGGGTGCTACTGCACGTGCGCACGTGCAGGGGTCGTTTCCAGATCTCGAGAACGGCTGGACCGATGGCGCTCAAATTTGGTACACGGTTAAAGACCAGTTAGTAGGGTGCCGTGCACAAGTCAGTTGGGACCCATTTTGCACGTGCGCACGTGCAGGGTGCCGCTTCCAGATCTCGAGAGCGGCTGGGCCGATTGTGCTCAAATTTGGCACATCGCTAGAGACCGGTTAGTAAGGTGCCGTGCACAAGTCAGTTGGAGGTACCCCCTCGAAATTTCGCACGTGCAAGGCCCACCCTCTCGCTCGCTCCGTTAGTCGCCCCAAAAGGCGTTATACTGGTAGTAGTAGGTCATAGTAGGTATTGGTTGGCCTTGCCAGTTTGCTGTTTTGGTGGCAGGAACTCTAAACCAATTCGTAAGGTGGGACGTGATGACATTGGTGGTGGTCCTTGATCAGTGATATTCATGTCCTCGTATAGATCGCCCTGTCAAGTTCCAGGAAGTATTTTTCTAACTCTTTTTGCCGAGGTGTTGGTCCTTTACCGATGTTTGAACCCATTGTGAGCAAGTATGACTACCGCTTGTTAGTTGCATGCACTCTCATTTTCATTAGCTGTGTAAAAGTGATGCGAATAGCGGAGGAGAATCTCAGTGTCAATCTATTCCCACTCGAATTACCCTTTTGCACATTTCTTTTCGCTGCCAGGATTCGGTTGACTGGTAAGTGTCAATAAACCCAACAACCCACCAGGCGAATGCAATGTCAGCCCAGTCTGTGCAATCATGACACTTATCTGTGTGCTATGTCCTGTTACATTAGTCGCGTCTTCGTGACTGGTTGCTGTCTCTTCAGCTTTGGGCCAGTCGGAACATTACGTTAATTTACTCGTCAGATTGTCTATTTGTTTAACTAAATGTCTGAGTATCGAGTGACTCACTATCTGACGCCGATTGCCACCCTCCACTCGCCCGTAAGACGCTATGACGTGCTGCTGACGTCCGGCAGGGCTCCGCTGTCTATCACTGACGCCGAGCGTCACATTAGCTGCGAGGATGACGCGCCCGGTGACGAGACGCCCGGCCGGCGGCGCTGCAACTCCCTGGAGGACGCAGCCGCCGGCTCCTCCAGCGTGGAAACGCTCGACGACTCTCCGCCGGCCCCGGTCAGTCGGCCGGCGCCCGGTGGGACGCCGCAGGCCACCGAGCTGCATGCGGCGGCCGGTGGACAGGCTGACACAACCCCCGGCCGGGGCGCCACGCCGCGGCTGCCGCCGTCTCGACACCGCCGGCCGCGCATCTCCAAGGACCTGTGGGCGCGCAGAAAATCCTGGTCGGTGGACGAGCGTAGCCGAACCTGGGAGCTGGTGAGGCCGGAGGCGGCGCCGGCGCCGGCCGCCGCCACCAGCACCGCCAGTCTAGACGGTAGACACAGGGCACCGCCGGACAAGCGACCAGATAAGAAGGCCTCGGCTGCTGCGGCAGCGGACAGGAGCAGAGCTGGAGCTGAACAAGATGCTGTGCCGAGCGCTGAGCCGAGCGCTGAAGCGGTTGCTGCAACCGCTGCTGTAGCTGGTAGTGCGGTAGGGACTGTGACGGAATCTGTGACTGAGACAACAGCCGCGGTGAAAGCCGAGAGGGTGGCTGCGACGGCGACCGCACCCGATACCTCTGCTGTGACTGTGCCATCCGTTGCGGCGGTGACTGAACCTGGGCCCGGACCTAAGACTGTGATTGGAGTCAGAGCAGAGCCGGGTGTCGGCACGGACCCCCGGCCGCCGCGGCCTGCCGAACGGCCGGTACCCACCCCGAGACCCACGGTGGAAGGGGCTGAGCGGCGGCCGGCACTACCGTCGGCCGTCAACAAGCCGCCGCCGCCGCCCGTGCCTGTCCCTGTGACGGCGGTGCCAGCCGCGTCGGTACGGGATGCTGCCGACTCGTCTGCGAGCGATGGAAGGACGGGTGTGAGCGGTGTGGCGCCGCGGCCGGCGGGGGAGAGTGGGAGTGACGTTGGACAGAGGCGAACCTCAACGGGAGGTGTCGATGGCTTAGAGCCAGTGAGGGCAGCTGCAGTGAGTGCGGACAGTGCGGGAGCTAGTAGGGCGAATTTAGAATCAGTGCGGCCCGAATCTAGGCAGCGAGCTACCGAAGAGCGAGTGAGGCGGCCAGCGCCGAGGCGAATCGAGGCACCTAGTGTAGATAGTTCTAGTAAAGCTAACCGGGCTGTCACGGAGCCACCTCAAAGCACAGACTCAGGACGTGTGACTGGAGCCAGTGCCAACCCGTCGGCGCGGGTCTCTGGCGGCGCTGCGGCCGGTTCTGACTCGTATCGAGTCGCCGGGGAGAGCGCGGAGGGTTCAGGACAGAGGAGAGTCAGTATAGAGAGCGCGGGGGCTCGCCGGGTTCCCGTGGACAGTGTCGAGGTCACGGCACCCAGACAGCCGGCGGGGAGTATCACGGAGGCCGCCGGACCCAAACGGGAACACGGCCGGTTCAAGCAGGAGGTGCTGAAGCTGATCAGCCGCTCCCGCCGCTCAGAGGAACGCCGCTCGTCGGATGGAGCGCCGTCCAGGAGCCGGCCGACGGCTGACTTCTGGGACAGGAGCGGCCCCAGACAGCAGGACGGCCGGCCCGCGCCGCCGCCGGCCGCTCAGAAACGTCCCACCACCCTGGAGCGGGAGACTGTGACCAGTGGCGACAGGTCCGCTCCCATCAGCGGTGTTATAATGAAGTCTGCGTCTGTGGAGCTGACACGGACCGTCGCCGGGCCGGTGGAGCAGGCAGTGGCTGCGGAGCGGGCCGAGCGCGGCCCCCGTCCGGACGTACTACCCTCCGCGGACGGCGCCGAGTCACCCCCGGGCCTCCACCGGCAGACCTCCTACGACCGCACACTGCAGTCGTTCAGCACCTTCTCCAACCTGCGCTCGGCGCGCATCGACCTGGCCGGCCACAACGCCAGCTTCAAGCGGACGGCCGAGCGGCTGCGGCGGCCGCCGGACCGCGAGGCGGAGCGCGCGCGACGGCCGACCGCCGGTCGTCAGGTGGAGCCGCCGCGCGTGGACGGCCCGCCGCGGCCGCCCGTGCCGCCCAAGACGCTCCAGCTGCGACTGCAGCCGGCCGCCGACGGTCTGCCGACCACTCCTGACGACGGCGACTGGTCGGACTCGGAGCCGGCGGGGTCCGAGTCGGAGAGCGGCTCCTGGGAGCGGCTCGATCAGATGAAGGCGGCGCTCTACTTTGCCAACCCGCTGATGCCGCGATCCGGACTGAGTCGCTCGGCGGATCACCTGCCCGTGCCGCTGCCGCGCACACGGCTCACGGAGGTGAGACTCCCCAACCTATCCGTAGCACCCGGCTCACAGAGGTAAGACTCCCCAACCTATCCGTATCACCCGGCTCACAGAGCTGAGAGATGAGAAGTAGTACCTATCTCTTGTCCATAGCACACGGCTCACATAGTTGAGATGTAGTCAAGAAAATATTGACCATATTTTGTCGTGACCTTTCTCAATCTAGACAGGTGCCTCTGGGCTGACCTTACAATAAGTCGTCAAAATGCTATCCCAGTCATTTTTGATGAGTTATTGAGTGTCACCTGCCGTGATTTGGTGTTCCCGTAAAACTCCCCATCGACCACGAAATGGCAGGTACCAAACACCTGTACAGAGAGGACGAAATAACCAATGGAATGGCAAGTATTTGATGCCAGTCCATTGAATCACAAAGTTCTTATCGTCCATTCAAATATCAATGAATGCCCAATTGACCTGCATCGATCGTACTTGTTCCGCTATCGAAGCCCCTCCCGGCTGTTGCACTGATAGCCCCCCCCCCCGCGTGTCGACAGATATCCCCTCCTCAGTCGCGCCAGCCGCCGCCGGTACCGCACATACTCGAGACGCCGATCCGCAGTCTACACGACGGCTGGGGCGAGTACCTGCACCACGGCAGAAAGTACTACTACAACGTCGACACGCAGAGCAGCACCTGGAAGCCGCCCAGACGAAACGTCAAGTCGGTACGTCCCGCTGGGGTGAGGGGTGGTGGTTGGATCGATAGCGGGGTGGTCACCGATCCGTCGTTACCATCCTCAGGAAAGTGAAATCCTTCTTCTCCATACCTCCACCCCCTGTACCGGGCTGGATGGGTAACGTAATCCCATGCGGGAATGCCCGTAAGATCACGCCCGTGGCCGGGTGCGGTGAGTGCTTGGGGAGGCTGGTGGGTCTGTCCTTTGGGACGGGCTCAGCCCCGGCGACTCACCAGGGTGCTCGCCCAAACCAATCCCCGCCCCCCCCCCCCTAATTCCTATCATCCTTCCGGCTCTGAAATGGTCTCGTCAGACCGAAAGGGCCTAACCCAACAAAACAAATAGAAAGTGGGGTGAATGGTGTGGGCTAACAATATATTGGTGACAAGTCCACACTCCACATGCTATTTTAATGGAATTTTAGTTGTCAATATATCGCATAGGGAAGGGTGAAACGGGAGTGTATATGTATAATTTGTGTGGACGTGTGAACTTCAAGTCAGGGTCATTGAATTTGTTTTCTAATGAGTTCCCTGTGCAGGGTTCCTGTGAAAGAACACTGTTTGGTGTGCGTAGCTATATCGTTTAACGATATTTGCTTCTGATTGGCCTATGTGCTAAAAAGTTTTTATATGAATGTGTACGAATGTATGTAATGGATTCCGTCTTATGTGGTAGAGGCTTTTTATCGGCTATCGCACAATGGGATCACAATAAATACCTGCAGTGCTGCGCGGGAATTTAATCACAACCACTTCATGTTTATGATTAATTGATTAGTGCGCTCATGATACGTGAGTCACGACAAGGACGCGTGCATTTTATTGCGCTTATTGTGCTTGTGATTGTCCGAGGCAGACCAGCAAATTAAATTAATTTAAGTTTTTAATATCAAATTAATCAAATTAATTTGATATAAAATTAAGTTTTAAGATCCAGCTCTAATATGACTGGTCTACTAAATTACTGAACAGTGGACTTGCTTGACCTTCTGGAGACTAAACTGGGTCAACTATCTCCATCCTCCAGCTCCCTGTTCAGTCCTCTAACCGATCCATCGCCCTGTGTCTGCAGCCGGCCACCAGCCCGGACAAGTCTGTCAGCGACCCGTCCCGCCCCACTGCCGAGGCCGGTACCCCGGTACTGGAGGTGGATGTACCGCTGGTACCGCTGCCGCCCGGCTGGAGACGACGCGTCGACTCAACCGGAGAACTCTGCTACGTGCGGGATAGTTCGCCTACCAGGGTAAGTGTTAGGAGCGGACACTGCTTATCTACCAGGGTAGGTGCCATAAGGGACAGCTTAATAGGGTTGGGACCTATCTGCATGCTCTGTATGTTTTGGGAAAATAAAAAAGCTCAGAATTTTTAATGATTTAATTTAAAGTCACTTTGTTAAAAAAATGCCTAGTTAGTTCAGAAATTAATTATTTGTGGCTGAAAACAACTTGCTTCTGATTGGTCGGGCTAATCATGACGTCACATGTAGGTATATAACTGTCTGTATATTTGGCGCAGTTGAGACATACATTTTCTATGTATTTTCCTATGGTAAAGCGGAGTGATTGGTCGTGTTTTCAGTGTCTCTTTATTTTGCGCTGGTATTGCGTGGCTAAGAAGTTTTATCAAGAATGGCATATACTAAAATGTTCCTTTAATAATGGAGCTTCAATATCTGTGAGTTTTATTGGCAAGCGAAAACTGATTTCGCTGTTATTTTATCTGGAAATTACTCATTTTTTTAGGTCAATATTCAAAATATTTTACGGGAACAAGTTGGCACTTTTCTTGATTTTTGCACTCAAATCGCGTGCGATTCAACTGTATTGGAACTTACAAAGAAGCTTGGTGATTAATTAACTGCGTTGTTATGGCACTGTTTGCAAAGCATGGATAATGAAACTCTGCCAAAGACTTAGCTACATAGCAATGCCTCAAGTAATACGCAGGAGGGACAGAATTCAGAGTCCGATCGAGAAGAATCGGTGCAAATGCTACGAAGACCAGGCAGCTCTGATACAATAGCTAGTCGTCTCACTACTCTCACTCCATTAGACCAGCTGATTCCTGACAGCACCGACTCGGATGCAAAGATGGAGCTCATCTTCCAAGCCAGAAACCAGTTCTTTGATGGAAGATGTGATGCTGCCTCTGTCTCTGCTTTGTTGGCCACTTTGGACGGGGCGGAGCTCCGCTCCTTGCGTGAGCGGTTATTCGCCTGTCATCCAGAAATAGTTCCTTCGTTTGCTGGCCGTTCCCTGATTAGGTGCAATACGGGGAGCTGTAATCAGGGAAGTAACTTTCCATATGAAAGGGGTGCAGGTGCACCCCCGTCCCCCATCGACTAGAAGTGCACCCCCATAGGCTAAGCGGCGCCCCACACGCCGCCCCACACGATTAGCTCTAGAGCAGATAGCGAGGGTGATTTCTCGGCTACATTCCATCTCGGCGTCGTGATGCTTGTGGGCCTGGAAAGCGTCCAGTCCCTAGGGTAGTGTAGGGGTAGGGTTGAGTTCAATAAGGTCCTTACATTTGAAAGGTTTGAACAACCTGCAATCAGCACAACATACCACAAGTTAAATAAAAAACTACCAAACTCCGCCCAACTAATATTAATAAACATTACAGCCAAACTAATGACCTAAATAAAAATATATCTCAAATCCTAACAGTTATCGCGGGTGATGGCGCCATGAGTTGCTATTATCCAAAACAGGTGCAAATAAACATGTTTGTATGTCCTATGTACGTTTGTTTTAAAAACGTTGCAGCGGCGCTGGGAACTGCAGTCTTAGATCTGGGTATGTTTGGCATCTGCAACTCTTCATATACACATTAACCCTATTTCGGACGGGGAGACCTTTCAGGATTTTCTTGTACACTTGCCAAACGCCGCGAGACATTCAGCTCATATTTGGTGACTTTTCCTAAATGCTCATTGCGCACATCTCAGCAAAAAAAAAAAAAATGCCGGGTCAGGTCAGGTCAGGTAACCAGAGCGGGTTTGTTGACCCCACCTCAGAAAGTTTGCAAACACGTCAGAGCTTGAGTTTTTCACGAAGTTATTTCCTCTCATCAAGTCTTCAAAACAGTACCTGCAGTATGTGTCGTTTGTATATCTCATAATTTTTGATCTGTGACCTGAGGTTAGGTCAGAGTCGTGACCTTTACATTGCAAGCCTATGGAAAAGTATTGAAATGCGACCTGCACCTCGAGTAAACGAGTCAAAACCACCCAATTCTTTAAGAATTATGACAAATTATCTTATCTTAATCTGTAATGATCCAGGTGCCATTTACTGACAGGGACACCGGAGAGGGTTATCTGAGCCGAGATCGTGTGAGGTGATATCTACCATACATCAATGCTCACAATACTTACAATATTGACAATGCTTTTGCTTACAACACTTACAATACTTACGATGAGACCAGCAAGCACTCTGCCGTTACAGTTCTCCAAAAACGACGTTACACACATTCGCTGCCAGCATAACATGTATTGTTTGACAGTAACAAAATACAATTGACATCTGAACCCCAAACGGACCGCCATCCACTCAAATTTTATAACCCTGACCGGTCAGGGGGCGAATGGAGGTCATTTCCTGGGCATTACACTCAGCCCTTGCACAAAATATCTCACCTCACAGTGATCATTACAACAATAGCACCGACTTGATAGTGGATATCAAAGTACTTGCATCAGCTCTTCCTGCTATTGCAGACGATGATCTCCTCACAGGGTAATGTTGTTCGGGACATGAACGAAGATCGTTTTCGGAGTTTCATAAGTGCTACTGCAACAGCCTGGCACAAAACAGGACTTTTACGCTCTTCTCTGCACTTTGCCCTTCAGTATATCACAAAAGAATTGTTAAGAATCCATCTTACGCTTCTTTCACAGTCTCCCTTGCCACCGTAGGGCGTAGATAGATTGCTGTTGCTGGTAAGTTAAGGCACGGTAGATAGAAATTGCCTCGGTTCTCAACGCCTTAAGTTATTTTCATAAAAAAGAACAAATAAATGATCAATAAGATGACAGGAATGTAAACATTTTAATCGTAAAGTAGTCCAAATATTGGAATGAGCTTTTGCTTTTCAGCATCCTCCGATTCATCATCTTTACCATTTGAAAATTCGAGGTACATAAAATGTTTATCACGCGCTCATGTTAAGTGGGAATATAGTACACGGCAGACACATCAATTTTTGACACTGAACATTTCATCCGTAAATGTTTTAGCATAATTTAAAGTTAAAAACAGCGCGAATGGCAGAGTGAAGCAAACAACATCTTTCACCCATTGATAATAACATGTAATCTGTGGTGCGCCAGATGCGCCATTATTTGTCAACCGCAGAAGGTGACATGTGACGTAACAGCATCAAGAGCATCTTTTTTCAAGAACTTTTCAAAACAAGTTTCCTATCTTTCTTCCCCCATTTCTCTCAGCTTATTGATTTTATGAGGCAATGGTATGCACCATAAATTCTGTGAAAATAGTTTGATCATTTTCATGCATTCTTAAAAAATCGAGTTCCCAACCCCATTACCAGGGTAGGACGTGTTCGGTGGGACAGCTCACCCACTAGGGTAAGAGTTGGATGGGACAGCTCAACCTCCAGGCTAGGTGTTTGATGGTACAGCTCAATCACGCTGGTGCTGGGATAGACAGGTTGCCCATCAGGGCTGGACAGTGGACGTGCTGGGAGAAGGTCTACCGGGCGAACTGTGGTTTACAAAAGTGACATCTGGTGGCACTTCAGTCCGCTGCTGGTCCTTGGCGGCAGCACTGTATGGCTCTGCTGCAGTCGGCACACAGTCATTGCACACAAATCCTACTGAGGTGACTTGATCTATTGGGTTGTTACTTCGTCCTCCATTACGTCATTCTCTATACCTGGCATTTGAAGAAAGGTAACAGATGTTGTTAACCCAACTGGGTTGCATTGTTTGCACCAGCAAGCATTCAGACAACAATTTTCACTGTGCAAGGCGGGAAGATGCTTATCATCAAAAGGGATCAGCAAACACTTGGAAACTTTCTAGGCCTACTAGCAATATTTAAACCTATGGATGAACATGCCTAGTCGGCAATCACCGAGCGTAGCTTTCTCGCTTCTTATTTCTCTTTTCTTACGAAGGTTACATAGAATGCCGAACCGTGATGATTAAAGCGCCGGCTACGAAATGCTTCGGAGGAAATAGGCTCCATATAAATTTACTGTTCTAGAAACCTCTATCCCCAACCATTACTCAATTTCTAAGTCAGTTCAGCAAAGTTGAAAGCAGACGCATGCGGCGCTTGCTTGAAGTGGGTGCGCAACATCTGCAAAATAAGTCATAAGATTATGAAAGTTGCTTTTGCCTATCAGACTGCTGGAGCTGATAGCCCTTTCCAGAGTCTGGTCTATTTAGTCTCGGAACCTTGGCTCCGACTCGGCCCTGAACTCAGGCCGTATCGACTCACCGGTGCCGGCCGCCGACTCCGTCCGCCGCCGCTCCGCGCTCTGGGCGCCTCCTGAGGCACGTCAGGCGCACGGTCAGCCCACCGGAAGGCCTCCACCCGCAGCCCTTCCGGGAAATGGGCCGATAGCACTGCGGCGCAGCAGTGGCGGCGCTCTGCCAAATCCCGACCGGTCCGCTCCCCACACACCGGCCTGGAGCCCGCCTGGAGCCGCCCGTGGCCGCCGCTCGACGAGAAGTGGCGCGGCTGACGACGGCGACGCACTCTGCGACGGCGCGCGGACGGCAGTCATGTGCGACGATGACGTCACGTTGCGTGCGGTGTGCGTGCGAAGGCACCGTGCCGTGCGCCGGTCGGCCTCCGAGGGCCGGCTGGCCTGTGTGTCGGAACTGCAGCTGTCTCCTGATCAGGTGAGGGTCGGCGGCGCTCCCCGCGGCGGCGGCACTCCCCCCGCGGCGCTGCGCCGGGTAGTCAGCCGTCTGACGCCGCTGCCAGTCGCGCTATCGTGTTTCCTGCCGCCGGCGGCCGTTGCGCGGCCACGGAAGGAGCGCGGAGTGTCACTGGCGGCTGACGCGCGAGGGACTCTCCGGGCTGTGCTGGACGCTGAGGCCGTGTATCTGATAGGCAGGGTGTGTCAGACACCACCCGGCTGGTGTGACATCCGGACAGCGCAGTGTGGTGTTCGCGGTGTTAGCCGTCAGTTCCTTTGATTGTGTTGAACTGTGCAGTGGTCGGTGAACGGTTCGCTCCTCAGTCGCTTCTCAACTGAACCATGTCAGACGAGGCTGATAACCCGGTGGCGCTGCGCAGTCGCCGTCGGCTCACCAGCGATCACATCCCACGCATCGTGGACCTGTCTCTGCTGACTATTCAGAACCGCGGTGCGGTGGTCGACGGGGCCTCTTCGCCGCGCAGCGCCGGCTCCGTGGGCTCCATCGGTGCCGATGACGTGCTGACGCCGAGTGACGTGGCTGACGTGCCCGGCAGCGCCGACTGCGCCAGGGAGACCCGGGGTGCGGAGGATGAGGACGCTGTTCTGTTGAGATCCAGTGATCGGAGCGATTCCTTTCGCATAAAGGTTGACGACGCAGACTGCACGCGGAAGATCAAATCCATGACGGAGCACCAGAATCGGTGCAGCCTGCCTGTGAAGCGTCTCAGCGAGCCGGCTGAGCTATTCTGGCGCTCTGTCGAAGCGGAACATGTCGGGAAGAGGCACAGCGGACCGGAGGGCGTGCTCCGCCGGTGCTCTGAGGACGGCGTCGAGCCTCCGCGGCGGCGCAGCGGTGCCGACCTGGTGCATTTTGTCGGCCCGGAGCGGGCCAGGGCCGAGCTGGAGCTGCCGCTGAGACGACTCGGGCGGCGCGGCGGGTCGTCAGGCAGCGACTCGAGCGACGCCGACTCGTTCCACACGGCGCTCGATTCGCCGCTGTGTGAGGCGCCGGCCCAGCCGCCCCCAGCAGCTAAAACCACAGAGCCGGCCAGAGCCAGACAGCCCGAGCCGCGTACTGAAGCAGACCCTTCCTCGGGCGACAGACCCAGCCCGACCTCCGGCTCCCAGACCACTCCGGAGTCCGTAGAGCAGCCGGACTCGTCTCCGGGTTCGGGGCGGCAGCGGGCGCCCAGCTGGCGTCTGGGGGCCGGCCGGTCGGGTGCCGTATCCGTGCGAGCCAGGATCGGGCAGTTTGAACGCGAGCTGGGCGTTTTGGGGCGCTGGCCGGGCGGAGGAGATCGCCATCCGTCTGCCGCTCAGTCAGCCTCCAGGGTGCGCTCACACAGGGACCGGGATGTCAGTGGGACAGCGGGGTACTGGAGATTGCATGTTGGAAGAAATAGCGTGGTGTTTTGTTTTATCCTCTCGGTGCATGTTGGAGTGTACGCACGTCATTCAATTTTTCCAGTAGCTTGTGATCTCAGTTAACATGTATTTGTGGCGTGGTTAAATTCGATTACATACATGTGCTTGCATAAAGACGTTTTTGCCGTTTGCTTTCCCGTGTGCCTCTCACAACTGGCATCGGCTGAGCAGTGACCGCATGCTGCCGGCTCCGTTTTTACAGTGGTACAGTAACCAGAACGAGGACGACCACGTGTACTTCTTCAAGGAGGGCAGCAACTCCTCCACCTGGACGCTGCCGTCGGCCGAGAACGGAGCTAGTCAGATGGCCAGGGACACGGTGAGTGCCGACGGAACTGCAGCCGGGGACGGGACGATTTACAGCCAGGGACGGGCCAAACGGCATTCATTGAGAACCGAGCGTTGACCAACTATCGCAGTGTCATGCTGCGGATGGACCTGCTCTGTTGACTGTTGGCTGACGTTTTCCAGTCGGTATCTGTTCTCCAGGAGTCGGTGTCGCCTCGCCCGGTGCCGGTGGGCGGCGTGCCCTCCGTACTACAGGTGGCCCGCGGACAGCGCGGCCGCTCTCTGGTGTATCCCCCGGCTCCGACCACCGAGCCGCCGCCGCCGCAGCTCGTCTCCGGCAACCAGACACACACGATTCTGAACCAGGTGAGAGAGAGGACACCCAGCCGGGGGAGACGGGCGTGGACCCGGGTGGTAGGCTGTTGTTGGGGGAAATCCCCGTATCTTGTTAGGGGGAAGGGAAGACTGAAGGACAGGAGTGACAAGTTATACCAAAATAGATGGAAAGGGGTCACCCTTAGCTAAGCCTCGGTATCCGTGACTACGTTGTACTGCCACTGTTTTCCGTAGGTAATACCCCATACCTGCTGAGTTTTCCGTAAACAGTGTGGCTTTACTTGACACGTTTCTACACGCATTTGTTTCAACAAAGCTCCCGGCATTTCGACAATCCCCAAACCTGTCCGGCCCGTTTCCGCCCTGCGATTATACCTACCCTATCGGTGGCGCCTGGTCCGGCCGCTGCCTGACTCACTCGCCCGTATCCTGTATGTCTATGACGTCCGCGCTGAGTGTTTGCGCCTCTAATCGCCTTCTGTGGCCGCTGACGCCGTGTGGGTGCGTCCGCCGTGTGTTTGGCCCCGTTCAGGGAACGCTGAATCACACCAGGCTGGCCAAGGAGACGTCGTGGAGGGCGCGGAAGAGCTGGGCGCCGTGCCGGGTGGTGCTGACGGACAGGTCGCTGTTCCTCTTCAAAGACACCCGCAGTAACGCAGGCATGGTGAGTCCGAATCGGTCTCTCTTCTCACTCTCTTCCTCCTCTCTCCCTCTCCTTCCCTCTTTTACTTTTATTTATTATTTCTCTCGCTTTATTTCTCTCGCTTTATTTCTCTCGCTTTATTTCTCTCGCTTTATTTCTCTCTCTCTCTCTCTCTCTCTCTCTCTCTCTCTCTCTCTCTCTCTCTCTCTCTCTCTCTCTCTCTCTCTCTCTCTCTCTCTCTCTCTCTCTCTCTCTCTCTCTCTCCCTCTCTCTCTCTCTCGCACTCTCTCACTTTCTTACTTTTCTTTAATTTTATATCTGCCTCTTTCTCTTTCTTTCGTTTTCTTTTTTCTCTTAGCAACACTGCATTAGCGGCGGAGTCGGTTGAGATGAAATCTCGTGAAAAGGTCTTTATGTCGAAAGTGTGGTTCGTGAAGCACATGCTCTGTGGATTGTGGATAGCTACATGGATGTCTTGGGTTGGGGTTTTCGTGTCTAGCGATACCTAATGTTTGTGGAGTGGTGTGGCATATACAATCTGCACAATATTCACTCTGCAACTACTGCATGTGTACCACCCACTGTTCTACCTGCGTGTCGGAGAATCTGCTGCCGAATGTACTCGCGTCATTGGCTGACGTGAGGACCGACTTTATATAGATTACCATGTGTAACGTGTACGTACGTGCGTGGTGGTGACTTCAGCTGTCGGTCTGGGCGATTGTGTTTAACACGGCATCCTGTTCAGTTGTGGTTTGCTGCTGTGTGTGGACTGTTGTGTGCTCTCTTCGCCATTCAGGCTGGGGTAAAGGTTAGAAACCGCTCTCCACTGTAATGGCTGACTCTGTACGTAACAGTGTGTTCCTACTGTAGTTGTGTGGCTGCGTATGTACTGTTTGTGTGCCTGCAGTAGTCATATTGGTTTGGGGCCTGAAACCGGTCTTTACTTTAGGTTGCCTTCCTTTGCAATAATGTGTTACTGACTGGTATGGTGTTCTTTCTCGCAGCCGCCACACTGGGGTAAAACGGGGCTGTACCGGGTGTGTTGCTGTGTGTGACTGGTCTGATTTGCCCCCCCCCCCCCCTGCAGCCGCCACACTGGGGTAAGGCCGGACTTCGACCGGACACGAACGTCGACCTGGCCGGAGCCTTCGTCGACTGGGAGAGAGAGGCCTCGTCACGGAAAAACGTCTTCCAGATCCGCACCGTGTCCGGCCTCAGGGTAAGGGGACGATGATGGCATGTGCAGGTACTCAGTGCCAGATGGCAGGGCAGTGTCAACTTTTCCGAGAAAAGAATGTCTGATTTGAATGAATCGTCTGATTCTAACTGATTGATGATATCTTACTTATCTGATTGATTAGCTGTATTGGAAGGAGGTCATTCCAGAAGCGGGGTGAAGGAAAATAAAGCAGCTTAGTTGAAGTGTTATCATCTACAGCTATCAAAATTATGCATTTTCCTTGACAACGCTTTTACATTTCCGACTACCTCGCATGTGAGCGCGGGTCGTCGTGTCCCCACTCGCTCCTCCCCTCTCCCTCCCTCTGCCCCGCCCCTCCCCTCACCGGCCCTCTGCCCCGCCCTCCAGCTGCTGCTGCAGGACGATGACGCCCTGACGGCCAACCACTGGTTCGACGCCATCAAGCGCGCCATCGCCGGCGTGCCGTGCTCGACCAACCAGCTGCCCGTGCCGCGTCATGTGACGGCCGACGACCGGCTGACGCGCTCCCGCTCTGTGCGCTGTGAGTACGGCGGATCAGACGGCTGGGTGCGGTGGGTAGTGGGTGGTGCTGCTGGGTACTGGCTGCGGCGGGATGGCGCCTGATGCAGTGGGATGTCGGCTGTCCTGGCGGGTTAACTGACTTCGGTGGGACCATGGTGGGGCCACAGCTTAGTTGGGAGCGATCCGGTCAGGCGGACTGATCACAGAGTTAAGTTATAACAGGCTGGAGTGACGTGACCGACCTAATCGGTCGCGACTTTGGCCATGGCTCCTCCGTCTGCGAACTTTGTCCAACCAGCTTCGTACTCCCAAAGTGGCATGCTTTCCCGTGGTGTCAGCCCGTGTAACCTATGTCTAACGTAACATGGCCCGCTCCTCCGTAACTGACGTACGGGGGGCGGACGAGGAGGAAATACGAATGTGTCCGCAGTGCCGTCCCCCACCGTGCGAGACTTAGCAGCCTTGTCTCGCACATCACACAGCTGCATCGCTCCTTCGCTGTCCCTGCTACCCCTAAACACGCTGAGCTAATTCTGTCTGTGCTGCTCATCCAAATTGTCCCCTTACGCTGGATGGTGTCCTCCGAGCTCACGCCTTACATCTACATTCTAACCGCCACTGACTGTCACTGACCTAATCGCCACTGTAAATAACGCTTGGGGCGTGCTCTGTGCTGCTCTGTCTCCGTCTGACCGTCTGACCGTCTCTGCCTGTCTGTCTGTCTGACTGTCCTCGTCTGTATGTCTCCTCGCTGCTAACCGGTCTCACCGCGCTGCTCCGCCGCCACTAACCCCCTGCCGCCGTCCGGGTGAACATGTGTTACAGTCACAGCCGGACCCGAGAGCCAGGAGGACCTTTCCAGGGATAATAGCACGATCAAAGATAGGCTGAGGCGCTTTTTCCGCGCCCGCCCGCCGGCAGACTCGCTGGTCAGCCGAGGCATTCTCAAAGGTAGGTCTGTGATAGGAGCCGCTGTGCCAAACACGCTAAGTACAGGGGCTGAACTGAGTTGGTGGAGTGCAGTTTTCGCCGTGTTTTATCGAGCAGCGAAGGACGCTATGTGTGTGAGCTATTCGATGAGGTAGCTGCTCAATCGTTGTGGCTATTTCGTGTAAGCTTTTCGGCGAGCTATTTAACCTGATGCGGCTATTTGTGTAAGCTATACATGGTGTGGCATAAAGTCATACTTCCGGGTCCGCCTGAGTGACGGCTTGGTACCGTCACAACTTATGAATGTTTCACGCTGCGTATATTCTATTTCCGGCCCATCCCCCGAATTAATTCACTGACGTTGAACATGGGGAACTGTTACCGGTGGACACTCCCAACTGCTACCGTTTGACGTCACATGACCAGCTGATCCAGGCTCGGGGTGGTATCATAGATCAATGACGCCTTCATTTTGATTTCGCAAAGTACGGAAAATGTCACAATACACAGGGCACACTAAATTTTGGGCATGCGGGATGGCACTGGCTTTGTTTTTTTTCAGTTTTGGTTGCGGTTCCATTTACGTTCAGATATCTGAATTGTACCTGTAGTAGTCTTGTCAAGGATGCGGGATTTTATGCACAGGTATAGTTCGATACCCATTGAGCCGAGAGGACTTATCTTGCTTATCTGTTCAGTCTTCGTGTTCATGTATTCGTATTCGTATATAATATATATTCAGTCCTTACGCATTTATTCTGCATTATTTCATTTGTTTGCTCATTTGCGAATGGTTTACTACGGTAAGCAGCTTTTGCACCGCTCCGGTGGTGGGCTCTGTGTTGTGGACTTATGTGGTGAAAGGGCTGTATCTTTTTACGGCTTCGGTGGCTTTCTTGTGATCTGGTAATGCCGATTATATCCCGATTAACTCATGACATGCTGTAAGATGACTGGTCCATCTCATTGATCCGTTTTCTGTGTTTTCTAAATCGATGTCGGATTAATCACTACCATTACCCGTCATTTTACTCACATTTCTCCACAAATAAGAGGTCCCAAAAACAACCTGCCCCTCTCTCATTAACCTCCATATGTCGCCCCGTCTCCGATCGGCTTCTCTCTAACCCTCTCCTCCCCTCCCACAGATGAGCCGGTGTTCGGGGGCCACCTGGCTGCCCTGTGTACCGTTGAAGACAGCACCGTACCTCGGTTCGTAACAGAGTGTATCGCCGCCATTGAGGCTAAACCGGAGCACCTGCGGATGGACGGAGTTTACCGGGCCTCGGGCAATCTGAGCCAGGTGCAGCGCATACGCTGTGAGGTGAGGAGCGACGACGGAACGGGAAGGGGAGGGAAGGTGCAGTGGGTGCTGAAGAGGTGTCAGAGTTGGTGTGGTTACAATATGGCTAAGCTTGACAAACTTTTGACTTGGTTTTGTGATCTGAGAAAACTTTCACTGAGTTGTATGTATGGTTGAGATTGTCATGTTTTGCTCACTAATATGGAGGACTTGCATGAATGCATTGGGCCCGGTTGGCGTTTTCAACAAAACTGCAGTGTTTGCAACCTCTCGGACTATCGTCTGCCATTTTGGTCTGGTAGTGGACTGTGTAATGTGTGTCCTTCCTACCCATTTTACCCTGGATCTTTCTCCCCGCCCCCTGCAGGTGGACCAGGACAACTACCAGGTGCTCTATGATGAGGAGGACGTTCACGTGCTCACCGGCGCACTCAAACTGTTCTTCCGCGAGCTGAAGGAGCCTCTGATCCCGTTCGCTGTGCTGCCGGAGGCTCTGCGGGCCGCTGGACTGACGGCCAAGCCCGACCAGGTGGCTGCCTTTCGACGGATGGTGGTCGCCCTGCCGCCGCCGAATCGGGATACGCTGGCGACGCTGCTGGCCCACCTGAATAGGTGAGATCCTGGGGGCTGGAGTTACACCCTAACCGGGGTTACCGGGACACACTGAGTGGGGGGTGGGGGGGGGGGGTGTATCCCCAACTGCGACACACTTGGGACGCTACTGTCCCATCTGACTAAGTGAGAAACCGAGTGGAGTTGTACCCCCCACCGGGACAAGGCAGGGTAGTTGTATCCCCAACTGGGATATAGAGGATTCTTCATGGCTCCGAGTGGAAGATCAGGATATCTTTTCCAAGCGGGTTACTGAGAAACCGAGCGACGAAGGAGCGAGGTTTTTCTGTAACACGCGAGGAAAAGATATCCGATCTTCCACGAGTGAGCCATGAGGAATCCTATATCTTTCTATGTTGAGGTTTATTCTTAATTAATCAAATGTTATATTTAAATGTACTCATCTATGTAAAAAAGAAGATTTAGAGTAGCTTGTTTTTATTTCATAACTTTCATACATAAACGGCCATTAAAAATGCCGTTCGGTTATTGACCCATCATCAGTTGAACTCTTGATTTTTGGCTATGAACCCTCGAGACCTTATCTTTGCATCTCAGAGAGATGCAGAGATAACAAATTCTTATCTTTGCATCTCAGAGGAGTGCGAGATAGAAATATCCCTGCACTGTAGACCAATGGCAAAAAAACCTCAACTAGAAAGATACGCTGGGGACGCTTCTGGCCCACCTGACTATGTGGGAGACTGACGGAGTTGAGGGTGTACCGACGATGGCGCCAATGACCCCTGACTCCTGAGGTTCTGGGTAGATACTCCAGTTGAGGGCACACACTGAGCGTGTTCCTGATTTACTGAACCTGAGTGAGTTGACTGAGTGGAAGTGGTGAAATAATGCGAGCACATGATCTTTGTACACCATTCCACTCTCAGACTTATCCCCCTGCCAGTGTCCGAACCCTCTTACCCATGCGACCGTTTCGTGTCTCTTTCCCGATGTGACTGTTTGTGACCTTTCTCTGACTTCTCCACCTGCACAGGGTGACCGAACTCCAAGAGTTTAACCGGATGCACGCGCACAATCTGGCCATCGTATTCGGTCCTACGCTGATGTGGGCCGAACAGGAGTCTCCTGACCTGGCGCTTGACCTGATGCGTCAAAACCGCGTGGTCGAGGCGCTGCTCGAGCTGCGTACTGAAGTCTTCGACTCACCCTGAGCCGAGTCAGAGACGAAGGGTGACGTATGAGGGCGGTATGACAGGCCGTCATACCTAATGACGACCGGTATGATGGCAGAGGGTCTGGAGCGCCGCTGTGGGCCTCAGCTCCCGTGTCTGCGCCGCGCCGGAGCGGTGGTGAAAGGGACGGCAGTCGACAGGGTCTTTTGATCTGAGCCGTCCCTATTGGTGCTAGAGAGCAGACTGCTCTTGAGCTGTGGCTGTTGTAAGCCATCCTGCCAGACGGAATGTCAGGATGGTGCGAGAGCGGCAAGATGAGCTGCTCATGACCTGTCTTCGGTGGTGTTTTACCACCACAGTCGCCACGGCTGGGGTCAATCAAAGCGGCCCTTTCTAAGCAGTGATCAAACGAGGTGTACTAGCCTCAGTGCCAGTGCCGGGACGTTAGCCCGGCCGATTTTATCGTAGGTTCGGCGGACGGGGGAAACTTAACTTGCCGGCGGTCTGTGGGCGTATATGTGGACGCCTGTGGAGAGTCTGTGGACGCCTGTGGACATCCATGGATATGTCTACGGATGGTGCGAGAGCGGCAGGATGAGATGCTCATGACCTGCTGCTCATTGCCTGTAAGCGACGCACGCACTGCTGCACTGATCACCGCGCTAGCGCCACTGTGTCAGTGATGTGCGTGTGTGCGTGTTTGCGGTGCGTATGTATGAACGGATGGTGGCTACTGACACCCTTCCGGCCGCCGTATTTGTGGCGTTACGCGATGTTGTTACGCTTTCTTCTGTGCCTATCACAGTCCTGACGGCACGGGTGCGCCGTTTGCCGCCCGCGCCACGGAGTGTCTTTTTCTCGTCTTCCTCTGCGTTCCGCGTCCGTCTGACTCTGTGTTTTCGAGTCGGCGACAGTGATACAGGAGATTCCAACCATGGCTGCATTTGTTAACAAATCTGTATTATTGCTATTGTAAATGATGTATATTGAGACTATATGATGGTAATACAAACACGCTATTGCATCTCTGTTTGATTGGATGAGAAGATTGAAGTAATCGACCAAAAGAGGAAGCAAACTAGTAGAAAAATGTGAGTGAAATTAAAACCGGGGGAGGAATTGGGAATCTTGGGAAGTGAGATACTGACCCGGCGCCAGGGGCCACGACGGAGAGGCGGTCTGGTCGAGGGCTAGGTTCTTTGTCGCTAGAGCCAGCCATCCGAGCTCATTTCCCGGAGACCGGGAGAAACACGCGAGCTCGTTCCTTGAACGTCTGGGAGGCCTTGAGGGTTCTGTTTCTTACTCGACTTGCTCGTCTTAGAGCGTGGGCTTCCTGGCAACGTTTTGATGTTCATGACCTGGTTTTCCTAGTCGTGTATTGAGTATCGATGTTAGTTATATAACGTCTGTTAGCATGCGTTTGATGTTTCAACGCAGTTTTGTGCGTATACGGAGAACACTTTTAAAGCCCGAGTCGCCACATTTGCCGTTAAATTCCTGTATCAAGTGTAACGCGTCGTCTACCTCGGCTACCCAACTAACTACTTAGTCTAAAGCAAGTGTAATTAATTACGTCACGTTTATTCAGGAGCCACATCACAATTACGCGTGGACCGCACAGGACATATACTCGCTGACTGTGCGATTTCCTCCCTCGTCAGTTGTCATCAAAGAACGGCAGTGCGGCCGCCTCCACACTTCCAATAAATAATAAACACATTTCCGCTTATCTACACGAGTTCGGCAACTGTCAACTAGCGTTAGTATCACAGGCGCAGGCTTCGAGCCTGTCGGCGCAGCTCGAGAGCCCGCTGCCCAGCCGCCGGCTCGGCCACAGCCCGGCGCTGGTGGCGCCACCTGCGCTCAGTCGCGCAGACGCTAGCGCCTCTGGCGGCGGCATCACACACTGGTGTCGGCGGTGGCACGGGAGAGCTCGCTCAGTCCGTTGTACTCGGAGTCTGTGTCGGTGAGCTCGACCAGGTCCTGGGCCGACTCGGAGCGCGCGAAGTTGGGGTTGTAGCGGCTGAGGGAGAGCGTGCACGGCAGCAGCTCGGGCATCACCGAGTGGTGCGTGATCAGCGCCGTCAGAGAGGTGAACTCCTTCATGAAACCCTGCAGACAAACGGAAGAAAGGCCGTTAGCATGGGTGATAAACCATTCATGAGACAGGAGGCTGGTCGGCATACGTAACGTATTTGTGTTAAACCCTTCAGAAGTACGTCTGGGAAATGAGCTTATACAAAAGTTAAGTTGAGTGTACACTAATTCCAGGTATATATCACGATAAAATTCAATCGCATGTTCATTCAATCCCTATACAACACTCCAAAAACAAGGTGTCAATGTGTCATGCTTACCTTGATTTTGTATCCTTTTGCGGTCTTCAGGATCAGGTAGTGCGCTATGCCTGAGACCTGGAAGTCGCGCGGGACTCGCAGGGACAGGGCGTAGCAGCCGTGTTTGGTGGTCGATTCTCGTACCATGAACGCGCCCACCGGCTCCTGCGAGAGCACCTCCAGGGCGATTTCCCTGAGGAAAGAGATACAGACTCGTCAGAAGAGGAAAACCCGACTGATTTGGCTTCAGCTAGAGGGCAAGGGCACAAGCGCAAGTCCGTGATAGCATGAAACAATGCTGATCTCTAAATGATTGCGGCCGCCTGTTGGCACAATATGCCCTCGACACAAAACAAACTATTTTGCACAAGTTTACAGCCAGCCATCGTCATCTATATTATGCATGTAGACCTGATCTACAACTTCGCTCTTCCTTGCTAGCTTTCTGGCCATAAAAACACAGCCGGTGTGCGACCCTGTCCCTGCACTTCCGGACTCTCCCTCTCTCTCCTCCACGCCCAACCTTTTCTCACCCCTCCTCTCACAATTCCCTGACTCTCACCTGGGGATGCCCGCCTGGAACCAGGCGGCGGTGCGCAGTTCGACCGCTTCCCGGCTCGGGCCCTGCTGGTAGTAGGGCGGCGGAGGCGCCGGTGAGGACGAGGCCCCGCTCGTGCCGTCCGCGGCCGGCGCGGAGACAGAGCTGGAGGCACTCGACCAGTGGCAGCTCTTCGAGTCCTCTCGTAGACTGGCGAAAAAAGGACGGACGGATGGTTAGTGAGATTGTCGGACTCGGTGGCTACAAAATGAAACAGTTTGAGCATCGACAGGCACCATAAGTCCTGTAATGTTTCAATCGACACAGATCCTATTCCAATCATCTGACATAGACGCAAAAGGGTCCAACCCGGCACAATGACAAGTCTAGAAACCGTTAGCCAGGACAGAAGAAGTATAACAACGGTTAGCACGGCAAATATAGGTGAAATATGTTGGCGAAAATATACACTGAGATGCGTGCCATTTTATCTAATCCTTTTCCTGGCTTCAACCCGGTCTGTTTCTCACCTTTGGCTGCTGGCGGAGACGGAGCGGGCGCCGGCGGACAGCGGCCGGCCCTCGCTCTCACTCGAACGGGACTCCGAGTCCGTGGTCGACACCGTCTCGTTGACATATCCCGTCAGCAGGGGACAGCGCGGCTCGGCGGATAGCCGGGAGGCGGCCGGCGGCGGCGGCAGAGGCGCGCTCTCGGGTACCTCCACCGGAGAGGCCGTCGGAGAGGTCAGGTTGACGTTCTTTCCGCGGGCGAGGTCCCGTCGGCTCGGCTCCCGGTGCTGCTTCGAGCGACGGCCCTGCGGAGGAGGGAGAAATGTGGTCAGACGACTGAGAACAGGGCACTCAAAGCTGTCCTCTATTATCCTGAAGGAGAAGTTGGATGAAACTGTGCGGTGTAAATGCTAAAAATAGTCTCCTACAGCGCGCTGTGGTTTCAGCCGGATGCCTGTGGCGGCCGACCGTCACCGCACTGCTTGACATTGAGACGAGTCGTCCGTAGCACGGCTCTGAGCCTGCCCACAGCTGCTCGGCTCAGCCCGGCCCAGGTCCGCTCAACACGGGATTACTCTGTACTACTCCGCCGCTGCGGTACTACGGTGTGTTGGATGTCAACGCGCGTCTGTGTAGTCGCCGGCCGGACCGGCCTGGACATGTCGCGGCTCTCCTCGGAGCGGCGCTGGAATCCAGTCTAGCTGTGCCGGACCGGCACACACCTGCACGCCACAGGCACCTATGCGCCGGGGGAATGCCGACAATCCGGTCCAGCGACGGGCCAGCGAGCAGTGGCGACGAGACGGCGGCACAGCGACGCTCCACGCCGGGGATTCACAGCGCCGCGCACTGGCCAGTGTCCACCGCGCACCGAACGGCGTCCAACGCGCACCGACCGGCGTCTTCCTACCGCGGCCCGCAGCCAGGACCAGGAAAGACCGTTCCAGTGTGCACTTACGGAGACGAAGAATGGGACCGCGCTGCAGACGTTTTTCGTGGCGAGGATGCTCAGTCGGGGTTGGATGTCACAGAACGGATTTTCCTCGTAACCAGACCGCTTCACGATTTGTTAACAACATGGCTTTGAATTGGACATCGAAGGGCAAGACAACAGACTGATAATCTGCAACCGGTATGTCGCGCTGGTGCCTTCCGGTCTATTGTAGTAGTTGATACAGGAAATGAGTTGCATAAAGGAAAAGTAGCTTGAACAAGCACTTCGTTCCCAATGCACGTATTAGCAGTGCATGTCAATATGTGTACACATAAATGTTTCTCCCGGTCCTCCGCACACCGTCTCAGAACCGAGCCCTGCGGCACAGTCTACCCTCAGGCGTTCCCACTACCGCCATCTATGGGCGAATCTATAAGCACCGGCAAAGCGTTATTATTCGATCACTTTCCGGACGTTCTAAACATCGCGATTTAGCAGTGGCACTCACCCAGGTTCGGTTGTTGGTCTTGTCGTGGTTGTTCCTGCCATCCAGGTCCCAGGCGCTTTGGTCAGCGGCACCGCCCGCTGAGCGAAGGCACGACCGCTGCAGACGGGCCGCGTACGCCATTCGGAAGGCATTGCCCACGATCGTGTTCAGCTCCTCGGCCTAGAACAGATAGAGAACATAACGTTAGATGGGTCGCAGAGTAGAACACTCACTGGTATGAGGCAAAGGAGTGGGCATTGGGCCGACCATCAAATCACACCATGCATCATGGGCCGATCGCCACAACACCAGGATCTACCACCACTAACATTGACCTAGCGAGGATCAGGCAAGCGGTGACCCGACAGAAAAACGTCTCAACCCGTCGTACCAACTGCAGTACGATGTCGTAACGGATGGCGCCTTTATGGCGCTGGTAGAGAGATAAAAGGCGCCACCTAACTTCATTTGGAACAATCTTTCACAATTTAGGTTCACCACAGAAGCCCAGCACAGAAGCAGCAGCAGCTATGAGCTATGAGCTACCACCTCCGTGACATGGGGCGGGGCCTCGGACGCACTGGAGTGGATCGAAGCGAGACTATCTCCATCCTCAGCCGAGCCGCAGCTGCCTCAGCAGCCACGGAAATGTCACAGGCTAGCGGATACGCCATCTGGCAGCGCCCCCTCGTCGCGAAAACAAGATAAACCGTACATCGCTGCAGCTGACGGCGCCGGGTAGCGAGAGTTACGCTAACCGTACGTCACCGGCTGGCTGACGGGACAGCAGTGGAATCCACTGCCATCCGTCCATCCCGGCTGATAGCTGCCGACACACCCGCTAAGCTACGAGCCGCGCGACGCGCCGATCTTCCTCTCTCATCAGCCACCCGACACCGGACCGCTGCCCGGTGTGGAGAGGCCCGGTGTGGACCAGCCTGGACCAGCCCGCCAGGACGTCAGACCAGAGACGGACGGCCGCGGCGCCGACAGCACGCCCACCCAGAGCGATGTATCGCCCGGTGCGGGCGACATATCGCCCTCGGCGGGCGGTGTATCGCCCGGTGTCAGCAGTGTACCGTGACCGCGGGGTGACAGGCGTCAGTGTCATATCACTGGCAGCTGTCACCTCTCGGCCCGCCTGCTGGACCGTGCCGAACTGTAACCGGCAGACTGATAGCATAAGCATCGAACAGCAGCCAGCAGCTCAGCCTGCACCGATCGGCCAACAAGTCATGGCTGGAAACGACCAGTTCACTACAGTGAGAACTGAGAACAGATCAATGCAAACTGACGCTCTCCCTCAGTTATCATGCACTACTCGAGCCAGTCTCGTCCAGGCCACTGGCCAGCACTTCATAAACCAGCGCCGCTCAAACCGGGCTCGCGGCGCCGCTGAGCACGCCGCCATGCTGGCCGAGCCACCACGTGACGTGGGGCCAATTCTGGGCGGCGGCTGGCCGCATTCCGGTGGTAGCGCGGTTCCACGGTTGTGCGGCTCGGTGGCTCGCCGGTCTGACGCGCCGGCCTGGCCCGCCGACTCGACTGCCTGGCACGGTGGCTCGACGGGCCGGGTACTGGAGCACACTGGGCCGGGAACTGGAAGCTCTGCGCCGGTCCAGTGACTCGAGGAGCCGACAGGTGACGCCCAGGTGATGGTCACGTGACCACGTCACGCACACGGCGCAGACGTCACGGATCGTTAGACCACGCCATGAAATAAAAATAGGTGTGAGACAGCCCACAGGGTGAGACGGCTAGAAATGAGTCTGGTAAGAATAAGATACGGCATATGAAGATTGTGGAAAGTCGGCAAGCCCGTGAAGGTGTGAGTGTAGCAAAGACGTAATACGGAGCATGTTTTGAACTTCCAGGTCTCGCAGGCTCACCATCCGGCGCGCTGGGTGAGCGCTGCACAGTGTGGGACGTTTCCCATCGCGAGCACCGGTGCCTTCTGGAGCGGTCTCCTCACCTGACCTTCCCTAATCGAGCGGCACGGCGAGCGGCGGCTCTCTCAGCCCCGTCACTGCCGGAGCCGCAACTGCAGTGCGGGACACGCCGAGCCGCCCAGCACGGCGCGGCACGACCGCTCGTTATGGTACGCCGCGCGGCGAATCGCGGCGCACTACACCACATCGCGGCGCACTGCGGCGAGCTGCGGCGCCGTGACACTGCGACCTTGGGCGGCAGGCGCGGGCAGACGCGGCGCAGAAGCGGCACTGGGTGGCGCGGCGGGCGGCGCCGCTGACATGCCGAGTGCAGGCGCGCTGCAGCCGTGTCGACACGGGACACGGAGCGCCGGGTCACAGGTCGTGACCTGGCCGGGCGGGGAGCCGGGACGGCAGGGCGGCCCTCTCCGGCGCCACTCAGGTGCACCGCCGCGGACAACTGAAGGTCAAACGTCGACACCACAGCGCCGATGGCGGAGATTAAACGCGCCTCAGCGCGACTTTAAATACGGACGACGCTCATTAGAAAGGCATCACCTATCGTATAGGCGAGACCTCTTGTAATGTATGTAAATTGATAGCGATCACCGACCGTTCAGACGTCTAGAAAAGTGAGACGAGATATCAGTCGAGAAGTTATTCATCCATTTCGGCTGAATTTTCAGCTATCACACTGCCATCCACAAAAGTGAGAACATTCCTGACAGCGAATCTCTCTCGGGCGTCACAAATCGATCAGAGGTGTCCGTTTGTGTCTCACGGCCTCCCTCAACCCGTCTCGATCAGTCACCTCAGGCTGTCGTGTCTCTACCGACCCAAATATCCCACCAAACGCAGCGGTTGTGAAGCCGTTTCACCCTTTCCCTGTTGGCCGCACCCTGGCGCCGCCGCGCCGAGGAAACCGGCCGTCTCGCGGCATTCCGAGGTGGCCACGTGGCGCCGGCCGGCACTGATCTGAGATTTCCGCCGGCCCACACCGGCCCACCGACACGACGCGGAGGGCGTGGACGCCAGCTGGTCAGCGGGACGGCGGCGGGACGGCGACGGGGTCAGGTGGGACCGTGCCGGGTCAGGTGGGACCGTGCCGGGGTCAGGTGGGACCGTGCCGGGGTCAGGTGGGACCGTGACGGGGTCAGGTGGGAATGGGTGGATGTTTGGCTCAAGTTGGGATACTGGCGGCCGGCGGAAGATTGGCTACTTATTAAGGAATTGCCGACAGTTGAGAGTGAAAAATACTCCATCTGTACATGTCCTTTCCCGAGAACTTAATTACACTATTCTTGGTGCATCTCCTCCCGCGCGGTTCCGACCCAGTCCGGTCTAACTCCTGCCCGGCCCAGCCCGGCCCAGCCCACGGTGGAAGGAGGGCGAGGTTAGCTCGCGCCGCGCCGTGCGTCGGCCTCCGGCTCTCGGACGCGCCGCTCGACTAACCACCATGCAGGTCACGTCGCGTCGTTTCATGGCCGACCAGCGGCCGCCGCCGGCGCTCGGCAGGTATGCGGCGACGGCACGCAGCCTCCGCGCCTCTCTCCCACTCCGCCACTCTCTCCGACCGATCTGTTTCACCACCGATCGCGGTCGGGCCCCAGACACCGACCATCGCGAGACATTAGCGCGACCCTCCGAAATGACGGTTGATTCGTATATAATCACCGACTGGCGACCGGCCTGGGAAAGACAAACAGGCGGTTGGTCGGCCGCGCCGCGACCCCGCGCTCTCACACCAACGGCCGTCAGCACCGGGACAAAAACGGCGGCCCAGCGGCGCCAGTCGTGTCGGGCACGGCTGGGACAGCGGCGCTACACGGCGCGAACGGCGCGCGGGCTGTCACACTCAGCACGACACTGCGGTGCGTGGGAGGTGTTTGTAGCGGGCAGCTCTATAGCGGTGGACGGCGGACGGGCGGGGGACGGTGAGCCCGCTTCAGGCGGTGACGGTCGCTCGGCTCAGCCGCGACCGTCGAGTGTTCACCTCTGACCCGTCAGCGTCCCAATAGCCGTCTAATCGCCGGGTGGGGGCGGGTATTAGCGTGCCTCCTGACGACTGCCGGCGCGGTGGGAGATAGCCCCTGGCCCCGCCGTCACCGCGTCATCCCGCAGCGATGCGGTGCCGCCGGCGCTGCCGCCAGCCGTTTTCAGCTCCCCGTCAGGGAACAGAGCCGCAATCGGAACCGCTCTGCAGCACGCAGTGGATTCCCGACCCGGCAGGTGAACGGGCTCGGACAGAGCCGCCCCACACGGCGCGGCGGACATTCCTCGGCGCACCGTTAGCTGTCAGAGTGTTTCAACCCATGAACGGTACCGGACATCTGTCCGGCGGGCCTCACGCATCTGACAAAGCGGCGGCGGTGCCAAGTTTGGTCCACGCCGCGTCACGTTTAGTCTGTTACTTGTCAATTGGGGTTTGTAACATGTCACATTTGAAATGTGCCGTCATGAGCCGCCATCGATATCAACTTTATATAATTCAGAATCAGATGTTCCTTATCACTTTCACATATTTTCGCATTGGTCACAAGAAAAGGAAGGGTCAATGTACTAAGCTAATAAATTATCCAACCAAGGGGCTGAGAAGAGGAAGCCTGAATGCCTGAAGGGAAAAGGGTCCCGGAAGGAGCATCTCAGAGGGGCCGACAGCCTGGGGTCGGGAAAGACGGATCACGACGGCAATTGAGGGGTACCTCTCCGTGTTCACCCGTGTCTATTGTGTTGTCGAGAGCGGTGGGAATCCGTGGCAGGTGGGAACGGCCTACCGAGGCGCGGCGGAAGGTGCCAGCCGCGGCGGCTCGAGCAGGATCGAGCGGCGGGTAAGGGCGGCAGGCGTGAAACCCATCGCAGTGCTCTGTCATCGAGAGCGACGCATCGGTCGGTCCGGGGCGGCCCGTCCGACGGCAGGGCGCCTCTCCCTACAGAGTCACTTTCATCGCTCCGTGTGGGTACTTTCTCTGTGCGTCGCCACTCGGCGCTCGGCCGAATGAAATATGTATTGTGCCGGCCACACGCGGGTACTTTCAAAAGGCGATGTGGAAACACTGGTCAGCCTGCAGGCGGTCGAGGCGGCGGTACGGGCGGGGGCGGGGGCGGCTGGTCGCCCACACCACTCGCACGGAGACGAAGTGACCTAGGGCAGCGCACTGAATACTGATTGCTCTGACAAGGACGGAAGTAAGCCGTCCGACTCCTCTTGCAGAGATGGACGTGAATGGACACTCTCAGGAAGGCCAGCTATTG